CTGCAACGGGGCCTCTGTCGGAGGAAACTGGGAGGAGTGAGGGGCAGCACGCTGGCGCCCCTCGACACAGGGGACACAGGTGGGGCCAGGGCCCGGAGGGAGGGGAGGGAGAGACCGGGGAAGACCAGACACAAGGACTCGCGAGGCCATGCCTCTGAGCCGAAGCAGAGAGGGGTGGCCAAGGCGGTGGTGCCAGAGGAGGGTCTCGTGAGACAGACGACGGCACGAGCAGGGGGCAGACTCAGGACCAGACCTGGACGCTGCAGCAAACACCTGACCAGACGAAGTGACCCTACCAGACTCAGCACCTGGAGGAGAAGCAGTGGTCAGAGTGTACAGGCTCGACCCTGGCCGACGTGTAAACGTAGCCAGGTGGCGACCTGTATCCGCCTCCGTGCAGTGGGTCACCCGCTGACGAGCAGGGGTGAACTGGTGGACACCCGCGTCCTGGAGGTCAGCACCACTCACCAAGTTCGTCGAGAACGAGGGGAGGTAAAGACCAGTCAGGGTGCCAGAGGGGGCCGCCGGACACGGGAGGACAGTGGAGAAGCGAGACAGGACAGGCCCCCCAGAGGGGCCAGCCGGGGACACCGCAACCGGCCGACTCAGCGGCGTGAGAGTGGTGTGGTCCCGAAAGAAGGAGCGAGACGCTCCAGAGTCAAGGGTGAAGGTGTGAGAGGCCGAAGCCGACACAGTACCTGAGAGGGCAGACTCACCAGCACCTGAGAGCACAGACGCACTGGCACTTAGAGCAGCAGCCTCACTAGTACCTGACGCGGCAGTACCAATGCCCGGGTCGGGCGGGAAACACCGGTAACAGTCATCCTCATCACTACCAATCGCAGCATACATAGCAGAGAGAATAGCATCAAAATCAAGATCATAAATAGCTACACCAGCCCTAGACAGCTCTCCCCAGCGGGGGATCTCAGCTGCCTCCGGCAACTGCTGACGCCAGGCGTCAGTCAGGCGACCAAAGCAGCGGCGGGCAGTGTGGGCGCCTCCACACCTCTCCCCTGCACGGTCACCGGTGCGGAGAACGTAGGGGCAAGGACCAAGCGCACCACCACGCTGACGCTGCGAGTACCACTCACGGAGCTGCTGAGGGGCGGGGACGGTGCGAGAGCGCTGCTGCTGCTGTGGCTGCTGCTGCGGCTGCTACTGCTGCTGCTGCTGGCGCTGACCACCCCCGGAGCTGCTCCGCTGAGACGAGCCACTCCGACCCCCGCCTCCACTGCCACCCCCGCCTCCACCGGCACCCCCGTCTCCACCTCCACCTCCCCTACCAGGACCGTCGCTCCCACCGCTCCCACCGCCTCCTCCGCTACCACCTCCGCCGCCACCTCCGCCTCCACCGCTGCCACCAGTACCTCCACTCCCGCCACCACCCCCACTGCCACCCCCACTCCCCCCGCCACCCCCACCGCCTCCTCCACCGCCCCCTCTAGCTCCACCCGCTCCCTTGCCCCCCTTGCCCTTGCCAGCGCGACGTCTGCCGCTGGGGGCAGACGCCGCGCCGACCGACTCAAAACCAGTGAGGTCGGCCGCAGCGGCAGAGGCGACAGAGGGCAGCAGGGGGGAAGGACCACACCCCTCAAAGATGGGGGTGCGAGGGTCACCCCGAGAGGCCCCTACAGCGACAATACTCTTCTCAGCCGCTAGCAGGGACTCCTCAAGGAGGTCGACAGTGAGAGTGGTTGGACAGACAGAGAGAAACTGGTCCCTAACGACACGAAGGGACTCAGGGAGACGGGTGACGAGAAAGTAGAGAGTGATGTACATGGGAGGAGGGTTCGCAGCGCGGAACTCAGCAGGAAGGGCAGCGCGGTAGCGGGTGTCACTAGCACGGAGATGGGTAACGAGGTCAGCGACAGTGTGAAAGGAAGCGAGGTCAGGGAAGAGAAACGGTAGCATGAGGCGGCTAAGGGTAGCGGAGGAAGGGGAGGAGTAGCGTGCAACTACAGCATCGTACAAGGCCTGAGCAGTCTTGCACTGACTAAAGTGGGCACGCTCAGAGGAAGGGAGGTGGCGACGCACAGCAAGACGTGCAGCAGCATCGCGGGTCGCCCACTTGGAGCGAACGGTAGAGTCAGCATCAGCAGGTGGGGCAGGGACAGCGCCAGAGACAAAGTCAAAGAGAGAGACCTCATCTATCGCATCACACAGTAAGTACAGCTGCAGGTCTTCAATCCAGACGGCAAAGTCAATGGCCCTCCCCTCAGCGTCAAAGGTAAGAACATTGGGGGTGGCCATGACAGCAGCTGAAAATCTCACCGGGCGGGGAGAGGCAGGTAGGTCAGCAGCAGAGGAACAGCAGCACGGCTCCGCAGGCGGCTCGGGCGGCGCGGGCGGCTCGGGCGGCACGGGCGGCTCGGCGGCGGCTCGGCGGCGGCTCGGCGGCGGCTCGGCGGCGGCTCGGCGGCGGCTCAGGCGGCGGAGGCTCGGCGGCGGCTCGGCTGCTGCTGGGCGGCGCGGGCGGCTCGGGCGTCACGGGCGGCTCGGCGGCGGCTCGGGCGGCACGGGCGGCTCGGCGGCGGCTCGGGCGGCGGCTCGGCGGCGGCTCGGCGGCGGCTCAGCGGCGGCTCGGCGGCGGCTCGGCGGCGGCTCGGCGGCGGCTCGGCGGCGGCTCAGGCGGCGGCGGCTGCTGCTGGGTGGATCGGCGGGGCCGCGTAGCAGAGTGGCGGCGGGGCCGCGACCGAAGAGAGCGGCGGGGCCGCGTAGCAGAGGGCGGCGGGGCCGCGTAGCAGAGGGCGGCGGGGCCGCTACCGAAGAGAGCGGCGGGGCCGCGTAGCAGGGGGCGGCGGGGCCGCGATCGAAGGGCGGCGGGGCCGCGTGGCAGAGGGCGGCGGGGCCGCGTAGCAGAGGGCGGCGGGGCCGCGTGGCAAAGGGCGGCGGGGCCGCGATCAAAGGGCGGCGGGGCCGCGTAGCAGAGGGCGGCGGGGCCGCGTAGCAGAGGGCGGTGGGGCCGCGAGGCAGAGGGCGGCGGGGCCGCGATCGAAGGGCGGTGGCGGGGCCGCGTAGCAGAGGGCGGCGGGGCCGCGATCGAAGGGCGGCGGGGCCGCTAGGGAAGGGCGGCGGAGCCGCGAGGGGAAGGGCGGCGCAACGGTCCGCTAGGGGCGACACGACGGGTCGCTAAAAAAAAACGCGCCTCGGGGCGCGGTTCGGTGGGCCCTAGAAGCAGTCCCTAGGAGGGAACCTGCTCTGATTCCATGTGAAAACAAAGAACGAGAATGGAATGACTATGAACGAAGTGAGTACAAATAGGAAAACCTAATTGGGTTGTACCCCCTATGGGATACCCCACTATAGCCTACAGAAACAAGTAAGCTATAAATTCTGACATGAGACTCCCTCCGCTGCTCTACTCCGCGGCGCCTCAGCTCCTCTGGGAATTCGCTCTTGCGATGGCCCGGCCTATTGCAAGCAAAGCAGCGCCCCTTAAACGGTGCGGCAGCTGCATTCGTCGCAACGGCGTGTACGGTGGCATGCTCGATCGGTTCCGAGGACGATGTCCGTAGTAGGATCCCGGTCTCAGACGGCGTAAAATGTCGATTTTCTCGGCGAGCGCGAGAATCTCGCTGAAGTTCGAGAGCCCGCGTAGCATAATTTCGTGCGAGATGTCCGGCTTCAGCCCTTCGACGTAACGGTCCACCTGCTCCGCTTCGTGCATGTAGCCGACTTGCTCGCATAATGCGAGAAGTCGCATAAGCCCTGCGCACCACGCATCCCACGTGCTGTACTGGGCGGTCTCGCAAAACGAACTCCAGGTGACAGCTCGACCCGTGGGCCCTTCCTCTTGCGACGGTGGCTCGTAGGCGCGTGGCGACGTCACGATGACTCGCCACCGGTCCATGGCGGGGCGCCTCAGCAGCGAAACGGCATACCGAATCTTCGCTGCGTCTGACTCGACGTAATTCGCGTCGAAGAAGATGTTCATCGTGAAGACCTACGATTGAACCGTCGGACCTCCACGTTGGCTTGGGTCGAAGCAGGGCGGGCGTTGCGGCTTGAGTGACATTTGTGCCATGATGGCCTGTTCGCCACTTGTCGCCGCAAACTCCACGTGCCGACGGGCTTCACGAGGCTCCCGCGGGCTTGGTGCGACCCTGTTCCCTCCCATGCCAGGCATCGGCTGGGCGGCCCCATCATTGGCTGCGCCTGAGCGCTGTCCCAAGCTGTCGTGTTGTGTTGGTGTGCCGAACGAAATGACGATCGGCTCGTCCGGTTGTGCAGATGCATTTGTTGGTGCGTGTGGTGGCGCGGGAGTGTTCACCGTTGATTGCTGACGCGCGGAGTCACGTTCCGCCATGAGCGTCGCAATTTCGAGCGCCGAATGTTCAAGTTGGCGCACCAGACGGTCGAGCTGCTCCTGCGTCAATGTTGCGAGCGTGAATTCGGCCATGGCGGGGGTGTCGGGCGAGCTCAGCGAGAGCCTCTGTCGTGGCCGTGCGGGCTTACAAGAGAGCACTACGAGCGGCGGTGCTGTGTCGCTGAGAGACGTCTACCCCCCCAAAAATCGAGATAGTGAGGAAGCGAAGGTGTGGGTGCGGTCCGAGAAGAGATCGTAGGCTCTGAATACCAAGTGTTACGAGTGCAATTGAGTGAGCGAGCGAGAATTGCACTATCGAAACAAAAGTACAATGAGCGAAGGCGTGAGCGAAGAATATATAGCGAAACTACAGTGGTAACGGTAATGGACTGTGGTTATCGCGCGACGGGCCTGGGACTGACTGAGCGTTGGAAAAGTGTCGAAGCGGAGGCCCGGAGCGCGGGTTACCCGCCGAGCCGTGAGGTCGGGGTGTGACGTGTGAAGGTGGCGGGAGGATTGTCGATGCGAGAGTTGCGAGTGGTAACGGTGCTGACTGTGGTGCTACAGTGGTGTACGCGCTGAGCAAGGACGCGAAGGAAAAGGAATTTCCTTACAGCGATGCTTGTTTATTGTGTCTACAGTAAAAGCATAACATATTCTTAAACTTAACAATGAAACCAAAGAGCTTTCCTCATACCGGTAATGTTCTAGCACTACTGGAGGCTTTCTCAGCCCTAACAGCCTTCCCAACTGGTGGAGTCAAAACGCTCTGGTGCTCCTGCAGCAGTGCCTCTGCTCTCTGCTCTGCCCCGATGTTAATCAGCGCCCTGTGCACCTGCATCACCATACCCTCGTCCAGATTCACTCCCAGCTCTATCATGCTGCCATACACCTGCGAACATACACGCACAATTGCAACAGCAGAGGAGCATGAGAGCAGCAATGGCAGAGAGCATCCAGTGCACATGCATCACCATGCCCCTGCATCACCATGCCCCTGCATCACCATGCCTTGATCCAGATTCACTCCCAGCTCTATCATGCTGCAAGCATGGATAGATGAAGAGATGAGAGAGGGAAATGGGAGCATGGGTTTCCCTGATCGTCTTGTGCACCTGGTTACATCACCAGAACATGATCAGGACCGCACAGGACAGTACATAGCAGCACAGAAACGCACAGAACCTGACAGAAGCGCTATGAATCGCACTGGAACACACAGACGTACCTTGAGCACCTTGAGGGGCCGCTCCTGCTGCGCGTACAGGCTCATCGCGTGTGCAAATGTGGTGCACATACCTAAATGCACACAACCGCATGGAACCGCGCAGAACCGTACCTCGAGCACTTTCAACGGCCGTCCCTGCTGCGTGTAGAGGCTCATCACTCGTGCAAACGTGGCTCGCGGCACCGTGTCCAGGTGGCGGCCCATGATTCGTTCCCACGTGCCGTCCAGCTCAGCATGGCGCCCCGTGGCAGCCATGGCCTCCATCATCAAATCATACGTGCCGAATGTTCGCCCCTGCCCTCTTGCCAGCATCCACTTGCACACCTGGATTGGAGGGTTAGGGTTCGGGGTGGGGTTGAGGGATGTAGGCAGGGGAAACGGAAGAATGATTTCAGGCGAGCATGCCGCGCCGTGGCAGCCATAGCCTCCATCATCAAATCATATGCCCCGAATGTTCTGCCCTGCCAGCGAGCCAACATCCACTTACACACCCGAGTTAGAGGGTTTGAGGGAAGCAAGCAGGCAGGCAGGGGAGACGGAACGAATGACCTGAGGTGAGCAAGCCGCCCCGTGGCAGCCATGGCATCATTTATGAGATCATAGATACGGAAAGTTCGGCCCTGGCCTCTTGTGAGCATCCACTTACACACGGCCAGCAGGGGAAAGTCCAACTGGAAGGCCGCCCATGCGTACTGCAGGTGCGAGAGTATCCACACTCGAAACAGTATCCACTGTGCTAACTCTCCCTCTCACCTGCAGTATCCTCTTCCACTCGCCTCCCTGCTGCATGATTCTCAACGTGCGTTTCACGGCCAGCAGAGGGAAGACGAGCTGGAAGGCCGCCCATGCGTGCGAATTTGCCACAGTATCTAGCTGTGCTACCCTCCCCTCCTCACCTGCAGTATCCTCTTCCACTCGCCTCCCTGCTGCATGATTCTCAGCGCGCGTTTCACGGCCAGCAGGGGAAAGTCGAGCTGGAAGGCCGCCCATGCGTCGAGAGCCCGGTACACGTCCTCCTTGGTGTCTGGCACATCACGGATCTGACAATAACGAGTATGGAAGGAAGATGGATGTGATGATGGCGAGTGAGAAAAGACGTCGGATGTGACAATAACGAGTATCGAAGGGAGTTGGTTGCGACAAGATGAGCGAGTGAGTGAGGGTGAATGATTGAGTGTGTGAGTGGGTGGAAGTGAGTAGCTACGTGACCGATCAAGGGACCAAACAAACGAGCAAGGGAGTGAGGGAGTGAAGGTGGGAGGGAGGGCGCATGTGCCCGTGCACACACACTCACTCACAGCAGCAATGAGAGCATTGGCACGCCCCCCGATGTTCCGCGTGTCCTTCTTTTTCCATGAGCAGAACACCCGCTGCCATAGTTTCAGGGGGAAGGGGGATGACGAGGGGGGGAAAGGAGCGGAGAAGGAGGGCGGAAGGAGAGTTGGGAAACGGTTGGCCCACCCTCCCTTGTTCCGTTTGTCCTCTTGCGCCATCTACACAACACCCGCTGCCACGGGGGGAGGGGGAAGCGAAAGGGGGAGAGGGGGAAAGGGGAGGGGTGGGGAAAAGAGTTGCTTCTCCCCCAATGTTCCGCGTGTCTTCTCTCCGCCATGAGCAGAAAACTCTGTGCCATGGGTTGGGGGGAGAGGATTGGGAAGAGGGGAGAGGATTGGGAAAAGGGGAGAGGATTGGGGAGAGGATTGGGAAGAGGGGAGAGGATTGGGAAAAGGGGAGAGGATTGGGGAGAGGGGAGAAAAAGGGAGGAGTGGGGTGAAGGGCGCATCAACGATCGAATGCTAGTCAGGTCGACTTTCGAGGATATGTGAGCAGCAGGAAGCGGCTCGATCAGCAGGACGCGACGCGTAGTACCAGCGGCTGTCGCGGCGGCGCGGTAGCGGATTCTCGTTGGCGCGGCGCCGCGAATCGCCCGACTCGCGGAACGAGCGGGTTGCAGAACCGTAGCCCCGAGGACAACGACGTGACTGTAGCGGGGGTGAAAAAAGCGGGCGACGTGACTGTAGAGGGTGTGACGTAAGCGCGCGAAGTGACTGTAGCGGAGGCTAGAGCGCGCGACGTGGCTTGGAGTCGAACAACCGCTCTAGAAGCGGTTAGGCGGAGCATTGGCGGAAGAGACGCGCGGGAGGAGTGGAGTCCAGGAAAAGTAGTGAGGCTGTTTCTGAGGCGGTTTCACAAACCGCGCGCTGAGGTTGGATAATACTGGCCTCTTGAGTCGGCTCTAAGGAAGAGCACAGCGGAGCTTACTGGGATGCGAGAGCTTGTGTCAAAAAACATCTAATGCTGCTTGGCCTATCGCCGGGTAGGCAGGCGGGCGACAAAACTCAAGGCTGTGGAGGTGAGGGGTATCGATCCCCTTACCTATCGCATGCGAAGCGATCGCTCTACCATGTGAGCTACACCCCCTTGTTTATCACTGACCGTTAAATATGTTGATCTATGTAATTAACCAAAACGGCCCTCTTTTTCAAAATTCGGCGATTGTCCACAATGGAGGTGAGGGAGGCGTTCGAGATCCAGCAGACAGCGAGTTACATCGTGACACATGGCTTCTCGCGCGTGTGCCTTCAGTTCCCCGACTCGCTCCTCCCGCACGCCGTCTCCGTCCACGACGCGTTAAGAGCTGAATGCGCCGCGCTCCTTAGCAGCCAGCATCATGGTGCTTATAACGGGGACAGTGAGACCGAGCCGCTACCTGAGGCTCCACCTGGCACCACCCCCGAGGCTAATGTCGTCGATTCACGTCAAGAGATTGCATCCCAGAGAACGAGCGATCTGCCCGAGAGCAATCAGCATGAGAGAAAAGAGCATGGGTCTGGGTTTCCGGGTTTTACGGAGGGTCAAGGAAGGAAGCAGTCGGAGGAGGCAGGTGTAGCTGGATTGGAAGCGCATCTGCCGCCGCCGCAACTTGCGGCGAGCCAGTCGGCGGGACATGCGGCGGATCATCCGCGTCGAGACGTGCCGCATTTCTACGTTTTGGCTGACGCGGCAACCGCCACGTGCAGCAGCTGCTGCGTGGATGAGGTGTCACCGTGCCACGTCAGCGCTGACTGTATCGTCCACTACGGCCACGCGTGCATGTCGCGCCGCCCGGCGAGGTTCCCCGTGCGGTACGTACTGCCACGTCATCCCATCGACGTGGCGGCGTGTGCTGCGGCAATAAAAGCACACTTCAAGAGCAGCAGCGGCAGCAGCAGCCGCAAAAGCAGCAGCAGCACCACCACCACCACCAATAGCAACACCCCCGCAAGTACCGACGCCGATTCTAGCGGAGATTCCCCCCCGCGCGCGCCCCCCCGCGTGGTGCTGGTGCTGTTCGCGCTCGAGTTCGCGCACGCCGCGGACGACTTTGCGCTCGCTCTTGGGGAAAGCGGTGGAGCGGAAGCGGCGGAGGCAGAGGGGGAGGGGGAGGGGGAGGGGGAGGGGGAGGGGGAGGGGGAAGAAGTGCGGTATGTGGTGGCGCAGGTGCGCGAGAGGGAGGTGGAACCGGAGGAAAGGGGGAAGAGTGGCGGTGCTGACACGTGTCGCGCCGTGAGTGGCGGGTGCTGTAGCGGCGGTGCCAGAGGGGAGACTGACAGAAGCGCGTGCTGTGGGGGAGCGACAGACAGGGGCACGTGTGGTGAAGATATTCCTTCCAATGCTGCTGCTGCTGATGGTGGTACTGCATCTTCAGTCGCTGCCACTATCCATTCTTCTGCCGCCCAGTGTGCCGCTCAGTGTGCCGCCCAGTGTGCCGCCCAGTGTGCCGCCCAGTGTGCCGCCCCTGGCACTCCTTTCGAACACGGCGGCCTGCGGTGGGTGCTGCCGCCCAGGTCAAGCATGGCTGCAGAAGCTGGCCAAAGCAGCAACCCACACAGCAAAGAGGATGCAACAACGGAAGCACCGGCAACAGTGGGGGTGACAGTGGTGGTGTGGGTGGGAAGCAGCGACGAATGCCCATCTCTCATCACTCTCGCTCTAGAGCACAACCAGACACCCATCCTCAGACTTGACCCCACCCAGCTACCTCCTGCTGCTGCTGCCGCTGCTGCTGAAGCGGCCACTGCTGATACTACCGCTGACAGCACCAGCACCACTGGGGAAACCCCTTCTCCTTCCCCAACCCCTACTCCCCCCAGCACCGCCCCTCTCTTCCACCCGGTGGACCACTCCCGCCTGCTGCGCCGCCGCTACTTCCTCGTGGAAAAGACCAAAGACGCGTCTATAATCGGCATCGTCGTCATCTCCCAATCCGCCGGCGCTGCTGCCGCCTCCACCCGCGCGACGGTCGCTGCGATTCGATCCGCGGCGGTGGCTGCAGGGAAGAAGGCGTACGTGATTGCGATCAGGCGGCGGATCACGCCCGAGAAGCTCGCAAATTTCCCTGAGTGTGATGTGCTGGTGCTGGTGGCGTGTGCGGAGGGGGTGCTGCTGGATGGCATGGGGCAGGGCAGCAGCGGGAGCGGTGGCGGTAGTGGTGGCAGCAGCGGTGGCGGGAGCAGGGCGTTTTATGCGCCGGTGGTGACGCCGTTTGAGGCGCTGATGGCGCTGGAAGAGGGGCGGGAGTGGACGGGGGAGTATCGGATGCTGCTGGATGGTGCTGGGGTGGGAGCTGGAGGAAGTGGAGCAGGGGTGAGGAAGGGAGAGGCAGGGTCAGGGGAAGAAAATGGGGAAGATGGGGATGGTGGGGAGGATGTGGCTCCTCGATTCTCCTTTGTGAAAGGATTGCTGGTATCCCATGCCCCTCACAAGGTACCATCGTCAGCAGCAGCACCTTCAGCGCAAGCAGCAGCAGCTGAATCAGATCAATCAGCATTGGCCGTCCGGCAGGACATGGCTCTGTCAGCTGTGCCTGTGTCGTCGGACTCCTTGGCCCTAGCTCGTGCGTCCGGCCAATCGGGGTATGCCACATCAGCAGCGGTAGAGGCACGGTCTGGGTCGGAGTTCCTGGCGCTGCGGCGTGACTATAAGGGGCTGGAGGTGCCCTGGTTCATGGCTCCTGGTGGGACGCCGGGGGGGGCGTCTGGGGAAGGGGGAGGGGATGCAAGAGGGACAGGGGATGCGACAGGGGGAGGGGATGAGGGAGAAAGGGAGGATGGTGGAGGGGTGGGTGCTTTCATGCCGAGAGTGGCTCCGGCTATTGATGCAGTGAGGGTGGTGGAGGGGAGGGAGGGCCGCGCTGCAGGGTATGTGGATGAACCGCAGAAGGGATAGGGAAGGATGATAGGAGGGGCGAGTATTGGTGTGACTATAACAGGCTGAATTATCCCTGGTCCATCGTGTTTGGTGGGACGGTGGGAACCTCGCCCTGGAAAGGCTGAGCAGGGCCGGGTGAAGGAGAAACAGGGGGTTGTAGAGTGATGAGGGGACTTGTTTGATGTTACGACAATGGGAATGTTGATTGATACATGTGGTTTGGGAAACGTCATTCACCTAAAAAAGTGTACAATAAAGTGCAGGTACTCCAAGCATGAGTGAAATGTACGAGCTTGTAGCGTTGTTTTTAATGCACACTCCTGTGTCGAAGTCGTTCAGCTTCTCAAATCTGGAACTTGTCGCGTCTGCTTTCCTCCATCTGGCCCGTCCTCCTACCCTCTGCTCCACACCACACCCCAGCTCCTCGTCAACTCGGGAAAAAACGCTCCAAACCTCTCGCAATCGCTCTTTAACCCACTTCACCCTTGTCAACTAATGTGCACGCAAGGTTACTACCCACACTACCGTACACAGGATCCCGAAGATGGAATTTCTGTGAGACATGTCTGGAATTTTTTTGTGCACCAATTGCTAGTCCAGGCAGCAATTTTTGTGCAGTAGCCATGGACGAAGATAACCAACCCCCGAGAATGTCGCATTTTCAGTGTTGGTGTTGGACAATGGGTCAGAGCAGCCGTTAAACAACCAGGCACCTATGGTCGTGATGACAAGTGCGCTCGAGTCTAAATGACGAGTGCAAATGCATGATATTTAAGTTCAATACATAGCATCTTCTTACCATCGGCGACTTGGGAGCTTAAAGCTGCGGTCTACATACTTGGAGCGGGGAGGGAGAGATTATCACTTGAAAACAGGGTTACTTTGTGCCTGCGGGAACTCCTGCGGAAAAACCAACAATCGAAGCGGAAGTGTTGGGGGGGTCTAGGGGGTCAGGTTAGAACTTGACCCACCCGAAACCAGTTTGTATACCAAAACAGAAGGGCTGACGGGGGCCCAAAGTCACTCGACACCTAGCCACCAGCATGTAGGTTCTAGAATTCATAGCCAACAGTCGCGTGTGGAAGCCAGCAGCGCCCAGCTCTCCCACGGCGTTTTAGCGACACAGTCCGCACCGGCCGCAAGCCTGTTAGCCCAACCGCGCTCACCAATCCACCTTTCCCGCTACGCCATCTCCGCCGCATTTCTCCGGCGCAAGTTGCGTCGCACTCTGCTCTCCGCGCGTCGCCTACGTCAGCTCATCACGGGACCCCGCTGCGAGTGCGAGGTGCTCCCCGCTTGGTTGCGTGAGCGCGTTTTGCCGCGCTTAGGGTTGCCGCCATCGCATAGTCGCCGATCAGCACGTTTCGCGAGAGGGCGTTGCCGCTACGAGACAAGGTGGTGACCTCGTAATTTTCCGACGCGCCCGAAATCCCCCCTCATTCCGCGGCGGTCCTGTTACATTCCCGACCTATTGCATTCGTCCACGCAGCACAGCCAGAATCGCCAGCCATCAGCTCTGCGCTAGCGCGGTTAGGTTCTAACACATGCCTCCCAATTTCCACCGCCCCATTCATCGTATTACGGAGTATATCCCCTTTTCTGTTGCCATGCGCGCATCTCATATCTCCGCCACGCTCCCTTCTACCCCTTCTCGTCTCTCTGCCATGCGCCCTGCTCTCCCATGTCATATCTCCGCTTTGCGCCCTGCTCTCCCATCTCATATCTCTGCTTTACTCCCTTCTATCCCCTCTCGTCTCTCTGCCTTGCTCCCTTGTATACCCTCTCGTCTCGCCGTCTTGCTCCCTTCTCTTCCCCCTCATGCGACCCGCCCTCCCACGGATTTATTCCCTCTCGACTCACTGCCCTGCTCCCTTCTCCCTTTTCCCGTCTCTTCTTCATCCTGCCCTCGTCTCACTTACCAATAAACGGTGCCCCATCCTTGCATCTCTGCCAAATTCCGCTCTCCCTTAGTTATGGCGGCGTGCATCGCCACTCCGTAGCGGGCTCCTTCCCGTTACTCTCGTCACAGCCTCTCCCATTATTTCTCTTTCCCCTACTCGTCTCGCGCCCTTCCCCCTCTGTCCCTTATTCGCCTCCCTTGCGCTCCTCTTGGCCCGCCCTGCTCCCTTACGCTTACCTTACCGTGGAACCCCTCACCCCCCTTCCTGTACACACACGAGCATCTCGCATCTCCACCACGCTCCCTTCTCACCCCTCTCGTCTCTCTGCCATGCTACCTCTTGGGGCTCCGCCTTGCTCCCTTCTCTCCCCTCCCCCCCCTGTGATCCTCCCTTGCTCCATTCTCTCCCATCCCATATATCCGCCTTGCACCGTTCTCTCCCCTCTCGTCTCTCTGCCATGCTCCCTTCTCTCCCCTCTCATATCTCCACCTAGCTCCCTTCCATCCCCTCTCGTCTCTCTGCCATGCTCCCTTTTATACCCTCTCGATTTGCCGCCTTGCCCCCTTATCTCCCCCCACTGCTACCATGCTTTGCTCCCTTCTCTCCCCTCCCATACCTCTGCCCTGCTCCCTTCTCTCCCCAGGACACATCTCCCCCTTGCTCCCGAGTATACCCTCCCGTCTCTCCGCCTTGATCCCAACTCTCGTTGACTCCCGGGACCCTCCCTTGCCCCCTTCTCTCCCCTCTCACATCTCCTCCTTGCTCTCTGCTATCCCCTCTCGTCGCTCCGTCTTGCTCCCTTTCGCCCCCCCCTGTGACCCTCCCTTGCCCCCTTCTCTCACCTATCATATCTCCGTCTTGCTCCCCTCTATCCTCTCCCATATCCGCCTAGCTCCCCTCTATCCTCTCCCATATCCGCCTAGCTCCCCTCTATCCTCTCCCATATCCGCCTTGCTCCCATCTCTCCCCCCCTGTGCCCCTCCCTTGCTCCATTCTCTCTGCTCTCATATCTCCTGCTTGCTCCCTTCACTCCCCTCTTGTCTCTCTGCCTTGTTTCCTTCTCTCCCCTGTAATATCTGTGCCTTGCCCCTACTCTCCCCTGTAATATCTCTGTCTTGTTCCCCTCTCTCCCCTGTAATATCTCTGCCTTGCTCCCTTCGATCCCCTGCAATATCTCTGCCTTGCTCACTTCTCTCCCCTGTAATATCTCTGCCTTGCTCCCTTCTCTCCCCTGTAATATATCTGCCTTGCTCCCCTCTCTCCCCAGTAATATCTCTGCCTTTCTCCCTGCTCTTGAACGGAGGGGCGGCAGATGGTGGTGCAGGGAGCGGGCCAGATGGTGGTGCAGGGAGGGACTTTTGAACGGAGGGTCGGCAGATGGTGGTGCAGGGAGGGACTTTTGAACGGAGGGGCGGCAGATGGTGGTGCAGCAGGGAGCGGGCCAGCAGAGCGAGGGGCGGCTGAGGGTGGGGCAGAGTGTGTAGGTGGGGCAGAGTATATGCAGCGGATGGTGTGGCGTGGGGGAGGCGTACCATACAAGCCCTTGCTGCGTTATACAATATCATGGGGGTGTAGGTTCACGGCCATGCTTCTGTGCTTGCAGACAACGTTTCACAAAAGCTAAAACCTGGCAATTGCTTTTATCAAAGGGCAAACGCTTGATGTACCGTTTCATTACACTACTTGTTTCATAGCCTTTCATGCAGTTGGTTAGCACATGTCGAAGTCGTTATCTTGTGTGTCACTTACTAATGCCATTACAAACAGTAGATAAGTGTCGAGAGTTATACAACCAAGTAAGCCATCGCTTTACGAACAAAGCACATGCTCCATTCGCTGCTTGCATCATGCAAAGCACCAAGCTAGTGGAAGAGAGGGTGCCACTGACGGTGAGGGTGGAAGGGCGATTGAAAGCGGGGGATCCCATCTCTTAGTTTGGCGGGGGGTTGGGCCTGTGAAGTTGCGCCTTGACGCACAGTGGACAGGGGGGGAAAGGTTGAAGAACAACCAAACATGGATCATACAAGAATGTAAGCGAATGGAAGGGTCCAGGAGACATGGGGGGGCAGGGAGGTGGGATGGGGAGGAAGGGGTACAGTGAAGGGTAGCGGAGAGGACAGGGGGGAGGGAGGAGGACAGGGGGGAGAGAGGATGACAGGGGGGAGAGGGGAGGTCAAGGGGGGGAGGAGGACAGGGGGGGAGGAGGACAGGGGGGGAGGAGGACAAGGTGGGGAGAGGATGACAGTGGGGAGCGAGGAAGACAGAGGATGAGAGAGGATGATAGAAGGGAGAGAGGATGACACAGTAGAGAGAGGAGAATAGGGGGGGGAGAGGATGTCAGGGGTGAGAGAGGAGGACATGGGGGACAGAGGAGACAGAGGAAGGGAGACGGGGGGTAGGGGGACGAGGGTAAGGGAGACGGGAGGGAGGGGAAAGGGGGGACGGGAAAAGGGGGGACCGGAAAAAGGAGGGACTGAAAGTGGGGGGATGTGAAACGGGGGGAAGGGAGACGGGAGGAAGGGAAGCGAGGGGAAGAGAAACGGTGGGAAGGGAAAAGGGGGGACGGGAAAAGGGGGGTCGGGAAGTGGGGGGGAGGGGAACAGGGGGAAGGTAAACGGGGGAGAGGGTTATGGGGGGAAATGGAAAAGGGGGGAAGGGATATGGGGTAGAGGATGCGCACCCTGAGGCTCATCAGGTGTGCACCATCGACGCCAGGGGAGTGGACTGGACGGGGAGAGGATAGGAGGGGGGTGAGAGGAGGACAGCGGGGACGGAGGAGGACTGGGGGGGGGGGGAACGGAGGACAGGGGGGAGAGAGGAGGACAGGGGGGAGAGAGGAGTACAGGGGGGAGAGAGGAGGACAGAGGGGAGAGAGGAGGAGGGAGAGAGGAGGACAGGGGGGAGAGAGGAGGACAGGGGGGAGAGAGGAGGACAAGGGGGAGAGAGGAGGACAGGGGGGAGAGAGGGGGACAGGGGGGGGAGAGGAGGACAGGGGGAGAGAGGATGACGGTGGAGACAGGGGAGAACAGTGGGGGGAGGAGGTGTGGGGGGGAGAGGATGATAAGCGTGGGAGGAAGACAAGGGGAGGAGAGGATGACAGGGGAGAGAGAGGATGACGGAGGTGTGCAAGCCAGGTGCGCGGATTCGTGTGAGCGCAGTTGACTGCACGATGCACTTCCCTCCCGTTACGCGCACTCGCCACGCCTCTGCCCCTCGCACCCACGCTGCTGCCAGGGGACTATTGCCACATCAGTCACTACGCATGCACTCACCACTACTGGAGGGCGGAGAGGAAGAGGTTCGGAGGGATGAGGAAAGGCACTGGCTCTTGAATGGCCACATCTCGCGCACCTCGCCAAACGTGCAGCTGGCGGTTCCGTGGCGGTGACGAGGCTGCAGGCGCGGAGGGCTGATGGGGGGAGGGGAAAAAACAAGGGAAAGTGGTGGGAAAACGGGGTAGGAATGGTGAGACGAGGGGGAGGGATGGGAATGAGGGCACGGAGGGGTGAAATGGGGGGAAGGAGCGGGGGACATGAGGGACAGTAGGGGGAGAGGGAAGTGAGGAGATGGATTGAGCTGAGAGAGGGGTTGGGGGGATAGGAAGATGGGAGTGAGGGACGGGAGGACATAGGAGGAGGAGGTGCGATTTGGGGGAAAAGGGAGGTGCGACCTGGGGGAAAACGGAGGCGCGACCTGGGGGAAAAGGGGGGTGCGACTTGCGGGTAAGGGGATTTGCGGGAGGTGCGAACTGGGGGAGGGGTGAGAGGCCTCTTGGAATTGGTGATGCGGCAATGAGGTGGTGCGGTAAAGGCGGAGGTGACACGGCCAGGATGGTATGCGACTTTGGGGAGGGAGAAAGAGGGTGCGGAGGATGCGCACTAAAGGCGGCGTGGCGCGTAGGGAGCGACGTTCGCGACACGGTGTGTTGGCAGCGAGGCTGCCCCGTGGCGACATTTTCGCAGCCATGGCGACACGACGTCATCGCGAAATTGGGAAGTGCGGAAAGTAACCCTGAATACACTCTTGCACAACTTACCCGATAGTACACCCCCGGCACTTTTGAGTCAAGGTTTTAGAACTGCGTGGCGACAGTCACTGGCGTAGTAACTTCCGAGTCACTTTCCCGCGCCTTTCTGCACAAACTCAGTCAACCGTTTAGCAACGCCACCCGCATCTGCGCACATGCTAAACAGTCACGGGCTGCTCCACCCAAATGTTCACCTGCCCATACCGTGTCAACCAACTCGAAAGCGACGAGCACGTAACCCCAACTGCCAATCCGTACGGGCTTCCCCACGTGGCATACTGTTTCAACTCCCACGTCCACGTAAGCGTACATGCAGCAAAACGTACAGCAACCACAACCGTTGGATGGACACCCTGGTCACGCAATCACTACGGTACACGTGTCGCCTGTACATAAACTCGCATAGCACGTTACGCATTCGCGCACACAAACTCGCACATCCTTGCAAGCTCACCGCGCTCCGATCTGCACCGTACATCTGGTGGTCAAGCATCCTTCCCACACCGTACATTTGGATGCATCCCATAGGGCAGCAAACCGCATATCACGCCAACGGTAGCCACTACCCCTCATCCACGCGGCCTCACTCCACTTGCGCATCGTGCGTCCGCACCAGACGCGCCAATGCATAAACACCGTACACCTGAACCAATGCCACCGTTTCGTGCACTTCGCGAAAAGTCTCGCCTACCATTAGGGTTGCGCTCGCAACTAGATGACGACGACACCTGCGTCGTCCATCTGTATACATCGTAAACACCACCGACCTTCCACGTCACGCACAATTAATCCATCTTACCCGTACACTTGCAACCCGATCATGCAATCGCACAAACGGTAACCGGTTGCCCTACCCATCGTGGCTCACGTTTGCGACGTATGCGCGAACCACTCACAACCGTGCATTTGTCGCACCCGTATAGCATATCACAGCGCACATCCCACCGTCGGCCTCATCTTCACGCTCGTCCACGATTGTGACACGGGTGTACAAGCGCGTGCCACCCTCCCATACCATTGGCTCCACGTCATCCCTTAGCCTTGTTGCGGTCCAACCACATGTCCACTTACGCGCACCGCTGCGTCCTTTACGTCCAACGTACAGGTGACACATGGCACACACCGTAAAATTCGCCGCAGAATGCGGCGCATCCCTCTCCGTCCCGCACATCTGGGCGACGGCGGGTTCGCTGTGGCATGCACCATATAGTTTCTGTTATGTGCTGTCATATGCGAGCAATACCCCAATTGAAGCTTTTCCCATTAACAACAAACGCACACACAAACATACAACGCCTCCACGCCTATGTCTAACCCCCCCACATCTTCAACACTGACACATGCTTAACCCAGGTGCGCGTTCCACAGCTACACATAACCCTGTCACACAGCCGCAAATCATCGTACACACGCAGCCAATCTACTGTCCCCGCAACGGTAAAACCCACGCTTCCCCCATCCCCTCCACGCCAGCCGTCCTACTCATCCCCCACGGATGCCGAAAGGTCGTCGTCCCCCACTGGCTCCTCCGGCTGGGCTGCGCCGGCGGGCCTCATGTGCTCCAGGCCGCACGCAGAGATGCGCAGACCATGGCGCCCCCAGATCCACGCCTCCCGCTCCGCGTCATACTCCGGGTTGCGGATCCTGATCGCCCTCTCCACGGCCTCCTTAACCAGGACCTTGAGGCCGTCCACAACGTGGGCGTTTCCGCCGGCCGAGTTGGAAAGCCGGCCTTTCCTCTGCTCCCAGTAGAGGACGCAGTCGGAGACCTGCGCCATCACGCATCGTGTCACTCAAATGGTCCGACGTAAACAACACAGATGCATGGCACACATAGAGCGCACAGACTCACCACATGCTCCAACCAGGCCAGGTGGTACACCTTCAGCGTCATCACCAGGCCGGCCTTCTTGGGCCTGAATGCAGCCTTCGCACATGTCGCGAACGCCCGAGAGGCGAACGGCATGCCATCCCGGTCTGTCGCCCATGTCGTGAGCACCAGTGTTTCTGCATTCCCACGTGCATGCAGGTCAGTGTCAACGGCCGTCACGCACGAGGGTGACAGCATAACGATGCGGTGGCAAGCCTGGTTGCTGGGGTAGACCGCACTCACCAGGGGGGTCAGCGCCGAACCCAATGCGCTCCCGGATCTTCTCAATACTACGTTCCTTCTCCGGTGCCCATGGGCTGGATGCGTCCCGATCGTCGCGGAACAAGCCGAGCTTGGGAAGTGCAATGTCGCGCACGCGGGCGGCAGCCCGCGTCTTCCACTCAGAGAGTGTCTTGTTGAGATCAGCGCGACGCGACTTGTCAGCCGCCAACGCCAAACAGGCGAAGCTATGCGGCAGGCGGTCCAGCACCGCACACACCCCGTGTGTCTTGTCGTCGCTGCTCGGGTAGAAGGTCATCATCGACGTCGGCCTGTTGAGAAACATGTGCACCCTGGCCAGCTCGCACACCCGCTGCGCACATAAGGTATACACAACAACATGAGTGGCGCACACCGGTATGCATGACGGTTGAATAATGGAACCGGACGGGAACGGGCCCGCTCACCTTCCACGCCTTGTCCGCAGGCAAATGCTCCAAGGCGCGCTGCAGAATAGGAGACTTGGCCGTGCGCATATGACGGCCACCAGATCCATGTGTGTCGTCATCGTCGTCCTCGCCGTCATCGTCTGACCCGCCACTCCACGTCTCGCCACGCTTACGCTTCGGGTTCATACAACCTTGCCCCGGGTCTCTCTGCCTGGTCGCCTTACGCTTATGAGAGCCACTGGACGGCCGAGACATCGCATTCAAGAACAACGCCTCCAACCGCGCGTTCTCCTTGGCGCTCTTGTCCTGAGCTTGAATGAGTTGCTCGAGGATACGGCTCGGTATGCGCACGTCATCGCTGTTGGCGTCCACTCTGTCCCAGCGTGTGGGTCCCACCAGTCCGTCCACGTCGTGATTAGCGCGAGTGTCAGCGTTGGCCGCGGATGGTCCCGCACGCCCATCGTCGTCCGTCTTCCCCCCCTTAGCGGGCTCGGCTGATTCTTCGCCTGATCCTGATGCCGACGTGTCTCCGCCTTCCTCGTCCTCATCCTCGCTGCGCTCGGACGAATCTGCACTCTCCGCCCCAGTGCCGTCATCTGTGGGTGACAGAATGACAACAGGCGCACAGAACCGCAAGTTAGCATACGCGCGCAACAACCGCCGCGAACGTCGTGACTGATCCACTCATGATCGTAATGCATACCTTCCTCTGGCTGCACCACCTCCTTCCCCTTCTTGCGGAAGCTCAGGCTCTTGGGTAAGGGCGCCCCACGGTTCCCGTTGGACAGTCGACCTCGCGGCATCGTCAACTGGTATGACGCTCGCAGGTACGCAGGCGGGAGCGAGACACGACGGGAGCGTCCCCCAGCTCGGGTATCCTCAGAAGCAATTGAGGTATCCATTGAAGCAACTGAAGTATCCAGTGAGATGCGCACATAATGACGCGATAACCACTTTTCTACGTAGCGGTGAGATGCTCAGCTTCCATGACACTCCGCTGCACCGAATACATGAGGAGGTTGGTACCCAATACTGCCTCGTACACATCTGGATGACCGCAATCCAAAACCCCCAATTACAGAACACCACGTCACTCGCACATTGACGGGTGTCCACCCCCGAACCATACACTGCGCACATCATGTGGTCACAACATTGTCCACATACCTTCATTGTGTGGACACTCGTCACGGAACTGGTTCCGGTATTCGTTGAGGCCCTTACTCACTTAAACATGTAGTACACCAAGTTCACGATTGCATTACCAGCTAACGGTGTTTGTTGTTCATACTTTGCACGCACAAGACTCTTCATTCCAAATGCAACATTATCCGAAAGCTACACAAGGGTGAGCAACTACGTGCACGGACATGTTTCAACCACACATTGACTCCACACCAATTCTGCAGCCATCTCTGATGTCTTCTCCTCAGCTCCAGTGTCTTCCCTCCGCTCTTCCTGGTCATTGTCCCTTGCACCTCCGCCTTGCTCGTTTGTCACTGGGGCCGTCCCCCCACTCTCAGCATTGTCGGTTGCCGCTGGGTCGTTGGTAGCTGTGTGGTCGTGGTCCACAACCCTGCGCCTCTTTGATGCACCTGTTGCACCCCCACGCTTCCTCACTCGTTTCAACCGCTGGCCCACGCTCTCCAGCGCCTCACGCCAACTCCTCCACCTCCACCACTTCCTTGCTTCCACCAGGGTCTGTAAATCTTCTTTGGTGCACCCCCGCAGCGTTGCCTTCTCTGCGGCCGACAGGCTGACGGTGTTGGGTATCCTCTCGCTAGGCCTCAGCACGAACGCACCGGCGGCGTATGCAAATGCCGCCTCCTCCTCAGTGGTGTACCCTCCCAGTCTCTGCTGCTTGCGCTTCCCACGTTCTTTAAACAGAATCTTGACGCCGTACTTGCCGGTGTTCGGATCCAGCTTCACACCCGTGTACCTGGTTGCACATGTATCTTCGCCTCCGTCCTCGTCATCTGAGTCTGACACGAGATCCTCCTCTTCGTCGGCCTTCGCCGTCTCCTGCCCAAGCCTGTCTCCCCACACGTCAGGTCCAGCTGGCACACCCGTGCCGGACAGCAGCCGCGGGCGCGTCAACATCCAGGGAGGTATGGCCCCGTTCGAGATCAGCGGGTTCTGCAGCAGGCTCGGTGTCGGCGCACATGCGGCGAACGTGGAGGCCAGCGCCACCTGGGTGAGGTTGCGCACGCCGTCCTCCTCAGGACTGCTGTCATCTCGCCTCTTCCGGGCAGACGGACGCTGGGGTGTGCGTGGCGCATGCTTGTTGCCACCCGCCTCTGTTTTCGTGCCGTTCCCCGCGACCCCTCCATGCAGCAGCAGTTGGGTTGCAGCGGACACCACCTCGTCCCGGCTCAGGCCCACGAAGTTGGCGATCACGGTGAAGCTGGCGTCCAGGTACCTCACATCGTTATGCAGCGATGCTATGCGCCTCGTCATCTCCGTAAACCGAGCGTCCTCATCATGGCGAGTGTTTGGCGCCTGCCTCCCATCTCCCTCCGCAGTGTTTCTCACCTGCACCACTGTCCCCTCTGCGGTAACCAGGCCTTCGTCTTGCGGCGGGACTTCAATCCCCAGTTCCTGTAGTTGTTTCAGAAGCTCTCCGCCAGCGTGTGCACACAAGTCTCGGCGCATCTCCCGCCTGTATTGGTGCGGTGTCACACCCTGGAACCAGAGGCCCGAAAACACCGTGGCGAAGTCGGTATGCACCAGGGTCTTGAGGTACTGACAAACAAAAATCCCACAGTCCTCCTTGTTCGGCTGCTGTGGCAGCTTATCCTCCTGTCATAAGGGTAACGAATACCGAAGTTATCAGTATGCACACCTGTGTATGCAACCAGCACAGCTGTGTACAGAACGAACGAGGCGTACTCACCCGTAGAATTACGCAGTCCGCCGCGCTCAGCGTCCTGTCCACAACCTCCATGTTAGCGTTTGGGTTACTCGCCTTTGCGAGTTCGGACAGCAACCTGCATACAAGAGTTCGTCCGGTATTAACAAAATTGAGCATGGACGTATATGCTATGCGCTTCGTTATGCCGAAACCCCTACTCACAGCTTCGTGCCTGCGAAAATCTTGTGGCTATTTCGATTCTTGATCGCGCTGTCCAGCAAGACCAAAGTCAGGCGCTCCTTGCCCTTGGTTCTCTGCGTCTTGGTGAGCACCGATGGGTTTATAGCGATGACGAGGGAATAGTGCTCACTGCGCGCAAGAAGATTGGGGTGAAACGGGATCGGTGTTAAACAGCAGTCGGTTGCACATCACGGAAACCAACCGGGAACACTGGTAAGATGAGTACACTCACGACTCTAGGACCGGGATCGCAAGATAATCGTGTTCCAAAAGCGGCCGCCCACTCCCCAGCGTTAACGGCACTCCATGCGCAGCTGTCGTCTGTGAATAGGCCTTGCAGTCCATGGCGGCCCATGTCTTGCCGTCGCGGAGCGACGGCTTCCTGATGCTAAGCAGCCTGCGCAGAGGTGAACACGAACAAGTTAACACACCGTGCTACAGTGAGATGCGCAGAAAATCGTACAAAAGCGCGCGCATGTGCGGGGCGGTCAGCACGGTACTTACACGTTGTGAAAGTCCACCACGCCATCGGTGATCCACTGTTCGTCCTCGATCGACATGAAGTCGTCCTTGTCCACCTCACATCCGACACCGCGGTGATTCATGAGCCTGATGTTGCAGTAAGATGATTTCGCATAGTTCCGGGCGATAGCGGCCACCACATCGTCCGGCACCGGCTCTGTCGCCTTTTCCACGACATGGGTCGCGAACCTAGAAGCCCTTCCGCCGTCCTTTGTCGGCGGACACGGAGGTGATTTTTTGTCGCCCTTGGTCGACGCTCTGGTTCTGGGAACAGACGGGTCAGGATCTTGGTCATCGCCGCTGCTGCTAGTCTCCGGTTCATGGAACCGGTTGCGCTTAGAGACAGACTGTTTAGGAATCGCCATCAAGAACGGACACTGAATACCATGCGGAGGAGGCCGGCCTTAATACGAGGTGAGCACGGAGGGGATGACTGGGAGAACACAGCCACTCACGGATCTCGCCTGGAGGGAACTACTCTGATTGACGGGTGGGCCAAGATGTCGCCTATAACCTGGTGGGTGTTGGGCATGCATAGGCGAAATGGTATACACCGTTGGATGAGATGCGCATGCGATGTCCACCTGTGACTCGATAACGAGACTGGATGTGATGGTGAGGCAGCATGCATATCCACGTGTTGTAAACCAAGGGGTTCGGAACACGAGGATGCGAGATTTAGGGTGGGTCAGCAATTCTGGTGCATGGAACACCATTTGGTTTTCCTTGTACAATCCAAGTGACGCGGAATCCGATAACGGCGTACGCGGACGTCAGCACTTGGGTTGTTGGGCCACCAGCGCGCACTAAGTATGGGTTGTACACGATGTAGTCGTGTACTCTTAAAAGCGGAAGTAAAATTTGTAGGTTGTCGTAAACAATATTGCAATATGCATAACGGGTATATTACGTGCAAAAACAATACACAACGTCTTATGGAGCCAGCTGTGTACAATCCCACAACGTCAGTTATTGGCTATTTCTATTTCTGGTCGTACTAATGACCGCGCTGATAATCCCGGGTCAAAAACGGGGAGTGTTATTTACCGGACCACCGTTACACATTCTGCAATTATAATATGGTTGTGCATTATGGTTGGGTGTATAATGTTTACCGGTGACAATCGAACAGATGGTATGTGCACACTTTTCAAGGTTCTGTGCACATGAGTGTGCACCATGTTGATCCTCTGAGTTGTGTTAGAGCACACCTGTGGCCAGTCCGAGTTTCTATCGCCACGGTCTCTAGGGTTTCAAGGTTGCAGGATGACGGGGAACAGTTGCATGGTGTGCGAGACGGTGTTTAAGGACGACAGCCGGTTACAGTCACATGTCGCTAACGGTGCAATTTGTCGCGCAGAGTTGAAGAGGAAACGGGAGAGTCTTTTGTTGGCGGCATATTTGGAAGCAATTGCCCGTGACGGAGAGAGTAGACCAAACACACCGCCCGCATCGCGGCTTAAGGATAATGACGGCAGTGTTGTATCGGTTGCTCCGACCGCCTCTATTCCCGAAGTTAGCCTGGTTAGCGTCGCGGATACACCAGCTGACGGCGAGAATGCGGAGTCATCGGAACACAGCGAGAGGGCGGAGATTTTCGACACACTGACCGAGTTGTATCTATTCTTCCGTGACGCCGATCTTTCGCACCGGGAAGTTAACCGTCTGTTACACATTTTCCGCAACCCGCGCTTCAACTTACGGGCCCTCCGACGATGGCGTAACTGGGTGGACGTGCGCCGATGGGGAATGGCGCGCGCTCCAGCAGACATGGTCCCGTGGAAAACGGAGGAGATAGTGGTGCGGGGCCCCAAAGGAATGCAAATGAAGCTGCTACTGCACTACCGCGACACAGAGCTGGTTCGTAAACGGCGGCCACACCCGCATCCCCCGTCGTCGTCACTGGGAAGGAATCTTGCCGCTCACTCCTGATTATATCCCGATGCGCGCAGATTCTGAAGAAGCTGGTGCGGACGTTCTCATCCAAGAAAGGGTTCGTGTGGAAACCTAAGAAGATTCATCGGAAGAAGAATGGCGAGAGGGTATTCGAGGGGCCGGAGACGGGCGATTGGATGCACGCTGCTCAGGTAAGTGCATCGGTAGGCCAGTCCACATTACATGTGAGTCCCAGAATGCTATAAGACGGAGTCTAACATTTGTGCAAGGGCATGTATGGTTGGCATGGCAGAAGGAGATTAATGACAGTGAGGCACTCATACTAGGCGTGCTGATATACAGTGATAGCACCCAGGCATCACGGAATGGTCGGAGGAACGCGTGGCCGGTGCTGATCTCGCTTATCAACATACCAGCGGAATTACGTGGGGTGGAGCCTGGGCACACGTTGGCGGCGGTGCTGCCATTCCCACCCGAATGGGCATCGCCCACGGAGAAGACGCGGGTTTTCCAGGAGGCATTGAAGATCATCCTCGCGCCCATCATGCGAGAATCTGCAAGGTACTGAGGTGCATATGCTACACGAGCAGCAGGCCAGTGGGGACCCTAGCAGATATTGCCCCGTGTTATGACCGCGTATTGTGTGTACGTTCCTAACCTAACTCACGGCCACGTGTGCATAGTCACAATGTGCAGCGGGCCAGTTCGCTTCTTCTACTGCACGGACGCGGACGGGAAGGTGCACAAAGCGGTCCCTTGCCTGTACGGATACCCTACCGACTTTCCGGAGTCCAGCAGAGCTTCTGCGACTCTTCAGCAGGGGACGCACCGGCCGTGCGCTAACTGCTATGCAGACAAGGGGGAGTTGACCATGATGGTGGGGAAGGCCGATCCGCGTACCCCCGAGATGCAGAGGGACATTGTCCGCCAGATCCTGGCGTGTAAGAAGAAGGGCGACGCTGACGCCGTGCGGAGGCTATGGTCAACACATCCGATCGAGGTGGGCTAAACCCTGAGGGCGTTTGCGTGCCTGTAGTGTACGGTGGAACCTAATGACGCGGTCGTGTCTTTGGTTGGACATTGCAGTGCGTACTTCACAGGTGGAATTTCGCGGACACAGAGTGGGGCAACGTGTATCTGGCATGCCTTGCAGACACACTGCATGTTCTGGACTCCGGTGTGCTGATCCACATGATGGACACCTACATCGAACCGCTTGGGAAGGTTGAGATGCGGACGCTTGAACGGTGAGCAGACTGTAGCCTGCATGTCATATCCTGGTGGGGTCATTTGGGTTGTAGTACACCATGTGTGCAGCGCTGATGGGCACGTCGAATACTTGGTGTGCGCAGACGCAAGAAGGAGTTTAAGGCCATCACGCCTAGCGTGCTCCTCCGAATCCCAGGGGGCTCATCGTTCTTCAGTTCCGGCGCAAACTACGCTGCGTTCGAGCACAGGAGCATGATGCAGATAATGTCGATCTTGGTGGCTGACGAGAGCGCGTTGAAGGGTGATGAACCGGGAGAGCTGCGCGCGTTGCAGGTCAAAGCGTTCAGGCTGTTTGCTGTGTTTTACAAGGCGTTTCTGGCTGTGGACCGGCACACACATACCACCATTGCGATTGCACGGCAGCATGCGATAGCGTAAGTGTGTGCATTAGGTGCATCGCTGGTCGGAATTGCGGTGGGTTTGTTGTGGCGGCCGTCGGGTGGCACACGAGTGTGCATTGACTGTTGCCTGCCATCGTGGACGATGTGGCAGGTTGGTGGCGTTGCTCCCGAGAGCATTTCCAAAGCAGGCATCCCACTGGAGACTACCAAAGATACACATGATGAGACATTTACTGGACAACGTGGTGGAGCGCGGGATGCCGCACCATTATTCCACTGAGATGTGGGAGCGCACGCACAAGGGCACGGTCAAGGGTCCAGTTAGAGGGAGCAACTGGAGCGACATTCCGCGCCGAATCGTGGAGGAGGAGGTGCAGAGAGAGGTGTACCGTGAGGTGGCTGCAGACGCCGGCGGTGGGCGGCAGTATGCGTCTGCATTGCGCGAGGTGCGTAGGGGAGTGGTTGGTGCTACGATGGCCATTCATTGTGTAATGTTGCACGGGTGCCCATGTACGAGCGGAGCCTGAGGCAGGTTGCGGCTTGTTGTGGGAACGTGGTTGTACACGTGCAGGCAATCAAGACGAGGAAACCGGTGCTTACAAAGAAGTATCGGATCATGCGCATAGGCGGGGCGTCGGATCCGGTGTACGATGAGTACACAGCCGCGCTTGGAGACGAGATGAAGGGGATGGCCGCGGAGTTTAAGGCGTTGGACCTGGCTACCAACAACGTGCAGGTGTGGTGATAATGCTGTCGCACATACATCTCGCACCTGGGGCTTGCACGTTGGTTGCCACTGCACTCATGATGCTAAGAGATGTTGGATTGTACACAACCGCGTGACAGGTCCACACCGCGGTGGCCATTCCGCGCACAAGAGGCGGCGAGCTGGTGGCCAAAGGGACGTTTGTGAAGGCATCTCCACGAGAGAGGTGGTACTCGAACGTGGCACTTCTGAACAACAAGAAGGGGGACTGGTATGCAAGATGTCTGTGCATCTTCAGGGCGCTTGACCGTGATGGGGAGTGGAAGGGATACGCATACGTGAGGTACTACGAGAGGGCGGGAAGCTGCAAGCTTACAGGGTGCACGCAGCTGCACAAGAAAGTGGAGAAGGTGAGGTATTCGGTGGTGGAGCTGGGCAGCCTGCAGAGAGTTGTGCACGTGTGCCCGTCGTACAGCAACAACAAGGTGCAATTAGTTAACAGGTTTTTGCTATGTGAGTGACGGCACGTGTTGGTATGGTGGAACTTAGGAATGATGGGTACAGGATTGCAGGGAGTGTAGTCAACTGTGGTGGGATGTTTATACTTTGGGTGGTTCAGGTTAGTGTTGACGCTGATGTGTCGCCACATATTGTGATGAATAAATGTGATATGGTGTCCGTGGGTGTACATTGGCATTTTGTGCATGGGTACGCGGTGGCAACCCTAAACCCGAAACGTATATGTTGGTGTTTAAACAGTGAGATTATAGTGGTAGCGGTCAGTAAACCCGGCCTAAAACGGGTCTTGGTACGGTTGACGCTTGTGCGGTCGAAGTTGACGCGCTTCAATGTGTGGTGGTGTGACCGACCGAACACCCGCCGTTGGTTGGTCGGATACGGGTGACGCGTACGTGGCTTCGATTCGCGAGGTGGCCTATCTGAATGTCACAGGTGGCCGTTTCACATGTGTCCGTTATCTTGGAGCGGCGCAGGAGTTGTGCTCGCAAACTTGTGTGGCGCTTGTCAACCCTCGTACGTAGTGTGCGTACGAGGGCAAACCGGGGTACGTTCCAGTGAACTACAACGTATATAGCAAGACTGGGTGCCATCCCCCAACGCATACTTGCCCACCTGGGTGACACACAGCTTCAATGGGTGACCTGAAGGGACTGCTGGCTACTGCGCACCCGGACGATGTGTTCTGCTTCCACGAGATTAATTTTCTTCCGAGCCGCCTCCCGAAGACATACATTCCAGACAAGCGTAATGTTTGCGAGCGGATTGTCAGCATCGGCATTCTTTACAACGCGACGGGCAGTTGTTCCGCGGTGCCACTGGTGGTCCTATCGCCGTACGATAGGCCCGAGCGCAGGCGGGGGCGCGCGGCATCGCGCATGGTGGCAGTCCGATATACGCACCGCGGCCGGTTGACTCCGGAGGTAGGTGACAATTACACCTCGCTGTGCACCATGTCTGTGTCATGTTTGCAACGTACATGTGTGGGCCGACACACTGATGGTGTTGTGCTGTCGGTGTATGATGCTATGCTCGCAGGTGTTCACGGAGTTTGTGGAGACTGTCAACGGTGTGCACTTTAGTCGTGATCGCAACACACTCATCCTAACCATACACGAGGCGCATCGCATCACCGACGAGGTCGCGCGCCCCGTCTCGGAGCACGGCTTCAGTGTGCAGCACCTCACCAACACCCGTGTCGTCAACATACGTGGGTCGGTTCCCGAAGGGGGCCTTCCGCACCTGCAGGGAGTGGAGGACGCGCTGAAGGCCCATTACCGCGTTATGCTGATGAAGCGGGCGATCGCGGCGAAGCGGTTCCAGTTCGACTATGCCGCTTCTATCGCCGACGTGGACTACGGACTCATGCTGGAGTGGCTGGGGGAATCGTGGACCCGTGTGCGCGCTGCAACCATGCAGAGGAGCTGGTGGCGCGCCGGATGCGTGCCGCCGAGCTGGCCGCCGCTGATGGCGTACCTGAACGACACCAGCGCGACGGGCATGTTTGAGCCGCTCATTGCGACTTGCGTCGAGCTGCAGTTGCTCATCGAGAAGTTTAAGATGAGGCCTGCGTGCTACATGACGGCGGCGGAGTTCGTCAACTGCGACGCGGGGCTCTGCGTGGAGCAGGGGTTCGTTGCCACACCTGCTGCAAGCGCGTCGGATGACTCGTCGGGCGAGATGAGCCTGCCAGACGGCCCGCTGCTGCGGGACGAGCGCAGCAGGCGGCGCGTCATTCGCAACGTCACAAACGCGTACGTGGAGCGTGCCGATGAGCTCGGCATTCCCCCGGCCCTCGTGCCAGCAGAGGTCGGCGCATCTAACCAGGAGGTGATTTCCCGCCTCGGCAGGACGCCAGTTAAGCGTGCGCGAGCGGGGCTGCGCACGGAGGACATGGCAGGCCCTTCGGAGCGCAAGGACGAGGACGACGAGTGATGCAGTTGGTTGAAGTTGTGCGGTGTGTGCGTTGTGCGTGGTGTGCGTAGTTGGCGTTGTGTGTGTGCGGTACCGTACGCCTGTGGATGACGGGGTTGGGGTTGTATTGCTGTTGTAATAGTGGTTGGAGGATTTTAATGAAAATGGATGAGTTGGGGAACCTTGTGAGACATTTGACGGTACGCGTGAACTTCGTTTACGGTCCGATGTTATAAGTTGACACAATGGACGCACCGCGGTCACCATAACGCGGGAATTTCATCGGGAAATTTGTGCACACGTTCGCGACTCGGGGTGTAGGTGTGCGCTCCGGGAATTCGATAGCTTTGCGACAAGGAAACTGTAATGTCAGTTTTTTGTGTCTGATGTACGCGCGCGTTTCCGGTGTTCAGAATGTTGCGATTTGCGTGCGTTGTTTTACCGCAGCTTTCCGCAACATTCACGCAAGGCAGAGGCAGAAAAACCTTCGGGGGCCAAAAAACGCAGTTTTCCTTTTTCGCGATGGGTGGAAATCAAGGCGCTTGCTTGCTCCGAAGGAACAGCTAGCATGGCACATGGTTTTATGATGGGGGGAAGTATGCAGCATATCGCACCACACCCAACAGTATCGCCCACTCACCATCTTACTGCCTGCACGCAAGCTTCTTATTGCAACATGCGGGGTCCCCACCAAGGCAAAAGGGCGACAGCAGAGAGCCTCTCTGGTTAGCAAGGACAGCGGCACCAATGCAGGCAGGAGTTTGAGCTTTTGGGAAAGTGCGCACAGCCTTACAGCGAGCACGGAATCACCAAAAACGGCAGGAAGAAAACAAAAAAATCTGGAACTTGTGAGGGCTTGCCTTGACCATTCTTATTGCTGGAGAGCTTGTCGTTGGCCCAAGACACAGATGTTTGCACAGCATTTCTAAACCACCCGAGTTTGCGGCGGCTCTGTTCGTCATCCCTGGATCGAGCACCGCTCGGTGCGCTCTCCTCCGTGATGGCGCCGGCGGTTTCTACCGCTCGTGAGGCACCTGCGGCCACGCGATGCCGACACGTAGATTCGCGCGGGGGTCGAGGGGACAGGGGAAGGGGTGAGGGGATTGATATCAATCCCATATGGGGCGGGAGAGAGAGTGACAGGCCGATCTATCGCAGGAGCAACCTCGCATGAACTTAGGGTTTCCAAGTAAGCTTCACCATCGCACGAAGATGCGCGTACAATCTCACGTGCGTAAGCATCACACGGGAAAGAATCGGCAGTCATCATCGAGGCCTGCCACATACCATCAATTGTCATCCCGTCGCCAAGAAGCCGAGCAGGTCGAGCAGCAGCCGTGGAAGCGAGTGATGCGAGAGTGACGGTGACGGCAAGCAGGAGAAAGAGAGCAGTAAGCAGACGCGCCATGATCATGAGCTAGTAACGAGGGAGCGAGGATGTTGCTTGAGTGTGTTACTAGGAAATGTGTAGACTGGTCTTGAAAGGAAAAATGAGCGAGTATTTGAATTGTGTGAGAGGGCGGCTTGTGGTGGATGTGAATGGGCTGAAGTGCAGTTGCTCATGCTCGGCGGGTGAGTCACAATCGCGAATCGCAAATCTCAGCCAATCACTGTCGAGATGTTCGGTGAGACGCGTTCCGACGACTACAATTTCGTTTGGATAAACTGATTGACCCGCAGTGGATTTTAGGCGGTGTGGTACGATACACACGTTCTGAGCACGGTAAAAAGCGACTTAACACGGTTTTCTTGAATCGCAAAACGGTTCTGACCAACATTGATCGCGTTCACAAGAATGTGAGTCGTGGACATATTGCTTCCGCCCAAACTGCCCAATATAATCTACTCGTGGTACTGTTTATCGAGGTGGCGTCGGATTCGTTAATGCTTTCAGTTAAAAGTGTTGCCGAACTGGGAATTGGAAGGGCTGGTTGTAGGGGTGAAAAAAAAAAAAAAACTATATCGCTCAGCACATGATTTAAGCAGTTTGGTCGGAGAACTGAGTGTTATGATAGGTAGTGCAACAATTAAAATGAAAAGAAGATGAGTGCATTCAGAATATGTAGATAAATACATATTGTTACATTGATATGTGTTAATCTACATGTGTGCATCATGAACTGACTGGCGACACGAGGATGTCCAAGGAGACCTGCTGAATACGCCTTGCGAGGTTCACTCAAACGAATGTCTGTTTAGCTTCCGAATCCAATGAAGTGAAGTCACGTGGCATTATGCTGACATGGTGAAGCAGGAACCCCAGATTTTGAGCCGTACGGACCAATAACAGAGAGTTCGCGGGGAGGTTTGTGTTGCGCTGATTTCTACTCGCTAGTGACACACACATGATCCAGATGGATGTCATACTTCCTCCCTCCTAGTCCAACTTTCAAGCGTCGGTCATTTATCTCTCATCTCGCTCCCTTTGCTGTCGTATCGCATTCGCTTTGCTCCCTCATCGTTCCTAAAGACTACCGCATAGTTATCCCAGACTGAAATTAGATACAAGATACGTCGAAGCTGGCGGCAACTTCTCAGACGCGAATGTAGTAGTATTCGGGGCACACGGCAGCTTGCGTCGTTCTCCCTTGCACTATTCCATATTACTTTTGGCAAGGAAGCTTTTTAAATCCCAGCGTCGACTGTTCTCGACGCTGCTCCCCCCCGTGCACGGCTGAAAACATCGAACTCGCCGATCCGATTCCGGCATGGGTTCTGCGACATTTTGAGGCGGCTTTATCATTTTCAAACGGTTGGAGTTAATATCTTCGGTGTCACAGTACTAGGCATCCGAAAAGAAGCTCAAATTCGGAATTCCTGGCACTAATAACTCGTCGAGTCGCCTCTCGCCATGATTTCCGCGACTCTCTTCGCTTCCAACCAGGCGCTTAAATCTCTATGCGCTGATCCGCGCTCGCGGATACACAGTAACCGTGCCATTGGCGAAGTTACCGAGGCGTTTCGCGAACATCAACCGCGACGCCACGTGTCTGTTGACGCACGGCAAAAATCGACCCGTCCAATTTACGCAGTAGCGCATTCGTCGCTGCTGCCGCTGCGCGCGGTGCCGCTTTTCGGCGTCCCCGTCGGCGGCGGCCGAAATCGAGTCGCAAAAACACCGTCTGGTTACAGTCACATTCGTTCTAATCACAGCCGCAGTCAAATCCACTCTCGTCGCATCCCCGTATCAGCCGCGCTTTGGCCCTGGCAACAGGAACAGCAGCAGGGAGACAAGGCGCAGCGCATTAGGAGCGCCTTGGTCGGGGGTGCAGGATCGGCGGCAGCAGAGGACACGGAGAGAAGTGGGCTGCGGGGAGGGGTGAGTGAAAATCATATAAGAGACGTTGCAGGGAGTTTTTGACCACCCCTCGTTTTATTGTGCATTTCCCTTCAAGAATTGGTGCGTGCTTTTGACCACCCCTCTCTCTCTCTCTCTCTTTAATCCCGCTGCCACATGTGCAGGAACCCACCGCTACAGCGACGGCCCTTACAGTCACAGTCTCCTCCTCCATCGCCTCCATTCCTGCTGCTGACTGGGACGCCTGTGCGCTGGACGCGGCGGGGGGCGCGGAGAAGCACAACCCGTTTGTGTCACACGCGTTCCTGCAGTGTCTGGAGGAGAGCAGAAGCGCGTGCCGCGAGGAGGGGTGGTTACCACAGCACCTCGTCGCGAGAGACGATGAGGAGAGGGTAGTCGGAGTGCTGCCCCTCTATTTAAAGGGGTACGTGTGCGTTTATTCATGTAAGGGTAAGGGTGTGTGGCTTAAATCGTTCGGGATTGGTGCGGGGGGGAGGGAGTAGGGGTGAGGTGGTTACCACAGCAGCCTCAGCAGCTTGTGGTGGTGAGGGGAGGAGCGGAGTGGAGAAGCACAATCCGTTTGTGTCACACGCGTCTGGATTCGGTTGAATAGATAGACACCTTTCCGTTCCCTCATCGCTCTTCTTCCCCTCTTCCCCACAGCCACTCCTATGGAGAGTATGTATTTGATCATTCGTGGGCCAATGCGTTCATGCGGGCGGGAGGCTTGTACTACTCGAGGCTCGTGGCTTCTTACAATGGACTTTTGAGGCGCCTCAAAAGGCTTCATACAGTGGACGATAATAGGAGCCTTCATTTCCTCCTTCCCTCTCCTCTGCGTCCCCACAGGCACTCCTATGGAGAGTATGTGTTTGACCATTCCTGGGCGAATGCGTTCATGCGGGCGGGAGGCTCGTACTACCCGAAGCTGCAGTCTTGCGTGCCCTTCACCCCCGCCACCGGACCTCGTTTGCTGGTTCGGGACGGACCTGACCGCGAGGCTGTGCTGTCAGGGCTGTGCCAGGCCATGAAGCAAGTGGCGGACGAGGTGAGGGATGGAGAGGGGAAGGGGGGAGTGGGGGCGAAGGGGTGGGGTTATGAGGGCGCATGGTTGACTGCTGTCGGGGCTGTGCCAGGCCATGAAGCAAGTGGCGGATAAGGTGAGGGGGGGAAGGGGAAGCGGGGAGTGTAGAGGGAAACTGGAGAGCCGGAAAGAGGTGTACCCGGTTGGCTTAGGTTGCTGTCAGGGCTGTGCCCGGCTATGAAGCGAGTGGCAGATGAGTTTGAGTGGGGAGCGGGGGGAGGGAGGGGGTGGAGGGGGGGATTGGGGTTGTGGGATAAGGGGATGCGGGGTTGACTTAAGGTGCTGTGCTGTTGGGACTGTGCCGTGACAATGAGCAAGTAGGGTTCAGGATGGGGGGAAGGGGTATGGCATGGCGCAGCACGGCATGGCATGGTATGGTATGGCATGGCATGGCATGGCATGGCATGGCATGGCATGGCATGGCATGGCATGGTATGGCATGGCATGGCATGTCAACTCCCTGCATCTTCCCTACTCCCCAACCCCACACTGGGCACTATGGGGTGTCATTGGTGCATGTGACATTCCCATGCAAGGACGACTGGCAGGTCATGGCCCGCCCAGTGGGGCACTGTATGGCATCCCCCATGGTCATTTGGTGCTTGTTTCGACCCTCTCCCTCCCCCCACTGTTCCACTCCCCGCCCCTCCCACACCGCGCAGTACGGGGTATCAACGGTGCATGTGACGTTCCCATGCAAGGACGACTGGCAGGTCATGGCTGTGTTTATTCCAACGTGCACCCTCACCCCACCCCTGCCTGCTGCCTCACCCCACCCCTGCCTGCTGCCTCCCCCTCCCCAACACCACACAGTACGGGGTATCATCGGTGCATGTGACATTCCCATGCAAGGACGACTGGCAGGTCATGGCCCGCCATGGCTTCCTGCAGCGCATGGGCATGCAGTACCACTGGAGCAACCGTGGCTATGGCAGGTGAGGGCAGAGGCATGGGGTGTGGCAGGTGGTTAGGGGGGCTATGGCAGGTGGGGCATGCAGTACCACTGGAGCAACCACGGCTATGGCAGGTGGGTGGTGGGATGTGGCATGTGCAGAACGGGGGTTGCTATGGCAGGTGGAAACAGGGGCATCGGGTGTGGCAGATGTGAAATGTGTCATGGCACGCCATGGCTTCTTGCAGCGCATGGGCATGCAGTACCACTGGAGCAACCGTGACTATGGCAGGTGGGTGAGAGGCGTGTGCGCATGGATGGGCAGGCATGGGTGGTGGAGTGTGGCTTGTGAGTGTGCGGTGGTGACACCTTGACTTGTGGGCCGTTCTGCTGCAGAGCACTGGCATGCAGGTATTTTAGGCGACTCAGTAATCGCATTGGCATACAGGGGCACTGGAAAAACCGCTTTTATGGTAGGTGTTGAGGGGGGTATGGCGTGTGGCAGATGGGAGATAAGGCATTAGCGTGTGGCAAGGCATGGCAAGGCATGACATGGCATGGCATGGCATGGCATGGCATGGCATGGCATGGCATGGCATGGCATGGCATGGCATGGCATGGCATGGCTTCATGCAGTGGTTCGGAGAAGCAAGTGCTTCTGCTGTGCTTTCCCATCGCACCTCTGTTCTCACACACTTCAGCTTCTTAATGATCTTGCCAATGATGGACAGGGGGCTGCGGAGGCCTTACTGCCTTCAACTCGGATGTTTCAAACTCCCAATGATCTCGTCTGAAGCAGTCAAAGTGCTATTCGGCTTTGGAGTGGACCCAAACCCCCCTTTCCCATCCCCAACCTCTCCCGTTCCTACCATTCCCACACCCGCTCTCTCGCTCCCCTTCCTCTCCGTCCCACCCATGTCCCCCATATTTGTGTGTCCGCATGATTCCACCCATCTGCACGGCTTCTAACACCAGCTTCAACGATTTCCTTATGGATTTGAAGCAGTCCAAGCGCAAGACCATTCGACAGGAGAGGAAGAAGGTGCTGTCTTGACCATACCGTGCCGTGCCATCTGATGCCATGCCATGCCATGCCGTGCCATGCCATGCCATGTCATACGGCACATCTCATTCACGCCACTTGAAGAAACCATTTTGCACCATCACACAGCATTCCATTCCTCAATTCCATCTACCACCACTTTCCACTTATCCTGATACCAGGTACGAATGCTCTAATGGGGCCCTTTATAATCTGATAAATTTTAGTTGTTGTTGCTCAACCTTGAAGCTCAGGTTTCCCCTTTGCCCCTCCTCCCGCTTTCTGATCACAGGTAGCGGCGCAGGGCTTGAAACTATTTTTGAGCTGACTTAAGAATCTGCTGTGTGCCACCCCTCTCCTTCCCTTTCTGATCACAGGTAGCGGCGCAGGGCTTGAAGCTGCTGCGGCTGAGGGGCGATGACATTAAGGTGAGGCGAGATGGCGTAATGTTGAGGGGAGTGTATCGAGTGTAAAAAAGAATGTACACTACACTATACGTGTTTTCATGCATTGTTTCTCCATGATTGTGTGGATGCAGACAGTAGAGACGATTAACACCTGCCTCTTCTCCTCCTCTCATCCATTTTTCCTCTTTCCTTTCCTTTCATGCTCTCTGCTCCTTCCCTCACCTCCCTCAACCCCTCTCTCCTCCCTCACCCCCCTTCACCTCCCCGCCCACTCATCAAGTTCTGTCGCTTCATGAGATTTTTTTGCGGACACACCATTGGCTTCTCCTGTAGGAATATTCACCCCCCTTCCCTCACTCATCTCCTCCTCCCCACCCCGCTCTCGTTCTGGCTATATTTTTGCAGGCACACCACTGGAACAGCTTCTTCCAATTCTACTGCAACACCACCAACCGAAAGTGAGTCCTCAGGCAGGTCAGGTCGAGTCGAGCGAGTGAGTTGATCAACCCAAGACCAAGAACCAAGAAAAAAAACACTGTACTGCCTTCAGGCAGTGCTGCCTAAACACTGTAGGCAGCTCTGCCTCAAGGCAAGCGGGTGAGTTGATCAACCCAAGACCAAGAACCAAGAATAAAAACCTGTAGGCAGCTCACTGCTGCCTGTAGGCAGCTCACTGCTGCCTGTAGGCAGCTCACTGCTGCCTGTAGGCAGCTCACTGCTGCCTGAAGGCGGACGTAGAGTTTAGGTGCCTCGAATGCGTCCAAGGAGTGGAACGAGGGATTGACTGGATGGGCGTACAGGGAAGAACGAGGCGTACAGGCCTCCTCATTCTTCCCTAATCCGCCTCCCTCGATTGTCTCCATTTCCACCATCCACCTTTTCTTTTATGCTCTCAACAGGTGGGGGCAGACGTACCTCACACGCGAGTTCTTCCATCTGCTGGGGGAGCCGCTGGGAGAGAAGGTGCTGCTGGTGGTGGCGGAAGAGGATGAGACAGGGCGCATGGTGGGGAGCTGATTCCATTCCCTTCCCATTGTCCCCCCTACCCCAACCAGGTGGGGGCAAACGTACCTCACTCGCGAATTCTTCCATCTCCTGGGGGAGCGGCTGGGAGAGAAGGTGCTGCTGGTGGTGGCGGAGGATGAGACAGGGCGCATGGTGGGGGGTGCGCTGAACCTGGTGGGCGGCGAGGCCGTGTTTGGGCGCAACTGGGGGGCTCTGCCTGGCACGCACTACCCGTTCCTGCACTTTGAGGCGTGCTACTACCAGGTGTGTACTTGTGTTACTACAAGGTACGTGAGTAGAAACTGGAGTAGAAGGCGCATGGTGGGGGGTGCACTGAACCTGGTGGGCGGCGAGGCTGTGTTTGGACGACGTAATTGGGGGGCCCTACCCGTTCCTGCACTTTGAAGCGTGCTGCTACGAGGTGTGTGAGTCGAAACTGGAGTAGAATGCGCATGGTGGGGGGTGCGCTGAACCTGGTGGAGGGGCAAGGCCGGGGCGCAGGGGACGTACAAGCTGCTACCCCCTTGCCCACTCTCCCCCACTCCCATTCCCCCATTCCACCTCCCCTGCCCTCACTTTACCAGGCACTAGAGGCGGCAGCAATAGAAGCAGGGTTGGCACGGGTGGAGGCGGGGGCACAGGGCGAGCACAAGCTGCTCTCCCCTTACCCACTCTCCCCCACTCCCGTTCCCCCACTCCACCTCCCCTTCCCTCTCCCCCTGTCAGGCAATAGAGGCGGCCATAGAAGCGGGGTTAGCACGAGTGGAGGCGGGAGCGCAGGGCGAGCACAAGCTGCCGCGCGGCTATCTGCCCACCGCCACCTACAGCACTCTCACCACGCCTTCCGCCCTTCCCTCCCTTTCCTGTTTCCTATTCAATGCTGCCTCCCTTCCCCCTTTCCCCTTCGTTTTCCCATTCCCCCCTACCCCATTCCCCTCCTTCCCTCCTCTCCTCTCCCCCGTTCCCCCCTCCCTCTACCCCGTTCCCTCCCCTGTCAGGCAATAGAGGCGGCCATAGTAGCGGGGTTAGCACGGGTGGAGGCGGGAGCACAGGGCGAGCACAAGCTGCCGCGGGGCTATCTGCCCACCGCCACCTACAGCACTCTCACCACGCCTTCCGCCCTTCCCTCCCTTTCCCCTTTCCCATTCAATCCTGTCTCCCTTCCCCCGTTCCCCTTCGTTTTTTCATTCCGCTTTTCTCAGTTACCCTCCTCCTCTCCTGTCCCCCCTCCCCCTCTCCCTCTACGTTTCTACCCCGTTCCCTCTCCTTTCAGGCAATAGAGGCAGCCATAGAAGCAGGTCTGGCGCGGGTAGAAGCAGGAGCACAGGGAGAGCACAAGCTGCCACGGGGCTATCTGCCCACCGCCACCTACAGCGCCCACCACATCCCCGACCCCGCGTTCCGCTCCGCAATTGCAGGGTTCCTGGAACGGGAGACTGTACAGGTGGGCTCACTTGAGTTGCTTTTGTCCCAATTTTCCGAAGCAGCTTTTATGCTGCCATTGGGGGCCTATCTACAGTGCCCACCGCGTCTACAGTGCCCACCACCACATCCCTGACCCCGCATTCTGATCTGCTAACGCCTGGTTTCTGGACTCCGCATCTGAGCACGAGACTGTAGATGTGCCTGTGTGAGACTCCTTTGAAGAATCTCCCACCTCCACCTACAGCACTCACCACATCCCGGACCCAGCCTGACCTGAATAAAGAAATGTATTCCAAAACACACACACACACACACACACACACACACACACACACACACACACACACACACACACACACACACACACATTTTAACCACGTTCCACCCATGGGGTCCCTCCGTTGCCACTCCCATTCATGCCCTACGCCATTCACTGCGCTGATGAAGGCTTAGTTGCCGAAACGCGTTCGCACGCACATCTCAGGCGATGTTTTGTCTTACCGATTGACTTACTAAGTCTTTCTTCTACTCGCTTTCGTCTCTCCTAGTTGAATCTGGTTAGATACATTTAGATCTAGACTCGAGCGGCCTCAGTTGGCTTGCTGCAATCGAATCTGCCCTTAAACAACATTCTTCGAGTGACTTTTGAAAATTCTCAAAAGTCACTCGAATATAGCCGCCCTTAAACAACATTCATACCCTACGCCATTCACTGCCTTTGCCGTTCTTCTTTGTACGAGGTTCAACTCTTACAACATCTATCCTACCAACATAATCCCCTGTAGCAGGTGGAATACACTTTGTCAGTCATGGACCAATAGGCAATCCCTTTTAAGAACCAAGCCTTGCAATTCTTTGCCTCAAACAGACCGAGACAAGCTTTCACCCTAAAAGCATTCATTCATCCCCCAATCCTCTGCGGCAGGTGGAATACGCTCTTTCGGTGATGGACCAAGAGGCAAACCCTTTCAAGAAGCAACCAAACACAGGCGCATCATAATTTTCATACATACCCTAGTGTTTATTGTTTGATATAACCTTGATTGCTCATACACGAGGAGAAAGTGTTTCGGCAGATTGGCTGTAAAGGCATTCAGGCCGTAGAGCTCTCTTTTGTCCAATGGACAATGTTTCAGCTTTCATTCGTAGGAGTGGTACTGTATCAGTGTAGTTGTCTGCTCTATGAATTACTGCACAGCTGAATACGGTACTACAACACGTGAATTCAGTTTACTCATGACAGACATGCCGTTTCAGCTTTGTGTCTGGCCTACCATGCCTTCTTGGTCAGACACAAAAATTGTAAGAGCAGTCCTCAGTCTTCCAGAGGCTCCCTATATAAGTACTTCAATCAATAACAGCCTCATCTGCATTAACACTGTACTTGTGTGATTTTTGAGCTGACTAAAAGGTTCCCTCCTCAATGATCTCGGCTCCACAGCCTCCCTTTGTACTTCAACATGTAAGCCTCATCTTTATCAACACTATACCCATCCACCAGCTCTCTATTCACACTGCATCTTTTCCCGCACGTTCTTCGGCCGCTTCTCCGCAAAGCAAGCGCGTGACACCCCGCTTCTCGCCTTCCTCACATGAATCATAGAAGTATCTGGCAACTGTTTCCTCTGCTTCTCCCAGTAGAACGAGCGGCGTGAGATGCAGTACAGGGCGAGAGAGGGACAGAAGTCGCGTAGGGAAGCAAGGGTTTGCTGCTCGCATGTGTGGGTGGGGAAGAAGATTGCTCTCAAGTTTGGAGCCAAGATAAACGGAGGTCTGCCTTCTTGCTGTTGCTCCTCCTGCTCCTCGTCCTCCTCCTCCTCCTGCTGCTGCTGCTGCTGCTGCTGCAACATCTGCTGCTGCTGCCCCTGCTGCTGCAAAAGCTGCAGCTGCTGCTGCTGCTGCATGCTGCTGCTGCTGCTGCCATTGCTGCTGCCACTGCTGCTGCCGCTGCTGCCACTGCTGCTGCCGCTGCCGCTCCTGCTGCCGCTGCTGCTGCAGAAGCCTCTGGTTGCACTCCTGAAATTCCTTCACTGTAACCTCCCTCTCACCATCATCCCGCCGCTTCTCAACCTTCAAATCCACCTCAAACCGCTCCTCACTCTCCACGACAATCCCAAGGCTGCGCAGGCAGAGCCACTCTGCGTCAACCCCCTCTACAGGCACCCCATGCCTCACTATAAGCACCTCCACTGTTGGCGCTATGGTGCGCAGCCATTCGGCCCAGGAGATTTCAGGAGAAAATTCAGGGGACAATTCAGGAAAGTCCAGTTCATTGCGTGAATGGTGGTCTTTGGGAGGGCCGTTGAGATAGGCAACTCGTGCGGAAGCGAGGAGAAGGGAGGAGATGATGAGACGCTGCTGGCCATACAGTGAGAGGTGGTGGAGAGCGAGAGGGGTGCTGCTCTTGCAAGAGAGTACAAGCTGTTTCGCCATCGCCGTGAAGGTTTTGAGCGAGCGAGAGAGGGTGAGGAAGAGCGTGAGGGTTCTCTGTGGGAAGTAAAACCGGACGGTTTGAGCCTTGGACAAGTCGAAACGGAATTCGCCGCCACCACCAGGGCCGGACGACGGGCGGTCCAAACGCCAGCTGTGATAGAGCGTGAATTCCGTCAGCCGCGGCGTGACCGTGCCCAGATACTCAGCATCCACGTAGCTCCAGTCCACGTGCTTGAGAGTCAAGCTGCGCAGCGACTGGTACTGCTCAGCTCACCCTTCCTCCTGGAGGTTCCACTTGCCCCGGCCGAGCTTCAGCCGCTGCAGCGCCGGGCAATCGAAGGCATGCACCCAGAACATCTCATCCGCATCGTCCTCACAGTCCTCTGGTAGATCGTCGTACAGGTAGGATTTGTCGACACAGCCGCGGAGTTTGAGAGAGAGGGAGGTGAGGGAGGCGCTTTTGAGAATTCTCAAAAGTGATTCCCACAGCCGCGGAGTTTGAGAGAGAGGGAGGTGAGGGAGGCGCTTTTGAGAATTCTCAAAAGTGATTCCCACAGCCGCGGAGTTTGGGACTGAGGGAGGTGAGGGAGGCGAAGGGGCGGTTGAGTGGCGAGCAAAGGTAGTCCAGCTGCTTGAAGTTTGTGTAGGTGGGCGCGAGGGACCTGAGGTGTCCGCGCCAGCGCAGAAAGTATTCGACGCTCTTGATCCACTCGGGGTGTAGTTCGTTGTATACCAGCGTGATGGGGTGGTGGGCCTGCAGAGAGGGAGGGACAGGATCGGAGAAGAGAGCGTGAAGGCTGGTTGGCTGGAGGGTTTGTGATGGGAACGGAGTTGTTTGTCAGATAGGCTGTTGCTCGTGCCTCATGCAGAGAACTCGCAACAAGGCTTTACAAACACACGCCAAATGTAAATAGTAAGTGCAAAGCAAGCCAGTACCCGCGGAGAAGGAGAGAATTAGGGGTCTGTTTTTCAGGTGTCTCAAAACTAGTTTTAGGTGCAAACTAAGTCAAGCGCCAAGCAAGCAGAGTAGACTCACGGAGAAGGAGAGGACGTGGGCCAGGAGCCTCTTGCTGGCCATGGCGCAGCACAGCAGCGCCCACCCACTGCCATTGCTCCTCACGTTCTTCCAGTGCTGCCCGACTGCTGTGAAAGAAGGGCCCGCAAATTTCACGGGCAGGTTTCTGCCCGCTGTGGGCTGAGTTGTGGCGGTGAGATACCAGGGCGCCTTGCGTCTCCCCCGGACGAGGGGACTCTCAGGGTGGGAGGAGCCGGGTGGCAGCAGCAGGTAGCGGAAGACTTTGTGCCAGAGATACGCCGGCAGCATGTCTATGGGATCACTGGGGGTGGCGGCTGGGGGGTGATAGGGACAAGATGGGTGGGAAGGGGATTTATTGGGGGGAGAGAGAGGGGAATGACTTGGAATGGAGTTGTTTTGAACAATATTTGAGTTTCTTCATGGCTGGTTTTCTTTGCGGCTGTGATTTCAAGCCTTGGAAATGGGTCTGGACGGCGAGAGCACTCGCGAAGGGCTTTGGAATGGGGTTGTTTTGAGCATTTTCTCTGAGTTTTTTTGTTTCTGGCTCCTCAAATATGAATATTTTCTCCTGAGTTCTCCGTTTCAGCATCTCCTTTCAAGCACGTAAACGTGATCCGTTCGAACACTTCTCGAAACGCCCACCTCGCCAACACTAAAAGGACTTCATGGTGCAGAGAATGAGAAGAACGTAGTGGAGGTGCGCGTTCATCTACCTCACGATCTTATTTTCCTAAAACTCTTTCCAGTATGAGTAAGAGGAGGAGAGAGAGGAAACAACGTAAGGGTGAAACGGAGTTAAATGGGGATTTGTAGCAGGGACAGGAACCACATGAGGGAAATCACTTAATGAGGTGCTAGCTACATGTTTCGCAGTGCGCGCATAGCTCGCGAGGAAGCAAAAGCAGGAGGGAGGACGGACAGAATAGAAGGAGGTGAAGGGGACAAGGAATGCATGGAAGAGTTCACTAAGTTAATTAAGTTATCATCCATGCAGGAAGGTGAAGTTTAGGCGCTTCTCGCTCGGAGTGTGAATATGAGGTGAAAAGACGGACGCTGCGTCGCGACACAATAGTAGCCCTTGCCTTCGGGGTCAGCATTGTTCTTCTGTCTCTTCTCCTCCCGTCGCTCGGCGCGCTCTGTCAGTTCGCCAGTAGGCTGCAGCGCTGCCATGGAGATTAAGATTTCTCAAGCTCACACTCCGCCAATGGTAGATAGATACTATGTAGTCAACACAAGATTCATGCATTTGCGCTCGCCATGGACTCGACCGCACTTGTCGCGACTGTTGGTACCTAGTATTCAGTCTCCTCTAGCTGTTCAACGGCTCCTTGAGACCCATGATTGTCCAACTTAGAAAATGCGCAATGCTCAGAGCGGGTCATACGTGTTCTTTCACAATTCACTTCGCAAGGGTCATTCCGGTACGCAATGGTCTGAAACGGTGAAATCCGCGGACCGTTTTGAACCGCGTCAAACAAACCCGAAACGATGAATATGACACCCTCACAACTCTGAGCTCAAGAGCTCGCTTTTCTTGATGGCAATGGCTCCGTCACAGTGTAAGACTTGTTCTTGTTACAGTACCAGCAAATATATCCCAACAACTTTATTTTCCTCTTAACTTAGTCTTCAACCACTAGAAGTTTCTCTGCCTTAACGGCCTTTTCAACTCCTACCCCTCCACCACCGTCACCGCATCAATCACCAGAACCACTTTCGGCATGAAAGGCTATATTCGCTCAAATCATCCTTCCCTGTCCATTTTGTGGTTCGTCCACCAGGGTTCTCGTTATCAGACCAATTTGGTCTGATGGTCTGCGTTTAAGACTGGTTTTTTTGTATTCATCTTAATCCTAAGATTTTGTGTTTGTTCTCATCTGATGAGCAAGATTTGACTTTTAAGTTCGTATGATTTTTTCAGACGTGTAGAATTTTTTATCTGAGGATACAGATAGCGAGTTCGGTTTCGTCTGAAACCGACAACTTGACCCACTAGGCCATAGGCCCAGTTGACCAGAGGACAGGACCACCACAGGTACAGCCGATTGCTGCCTTGTAACTGCACGCATTCATTACGCGTGTCTTATACAGCTCTGTAACTGCCTTGTGCAGCCTCGCTGGCATGTATCTGCGGCATATGCTGCCAGGTGTTTGTCGTTTGGGTGGCTGTCGGCGCCGACGCCAGCCACAGCCACGACAACGCGCTGTCCCGTTGTGCCAGCGCATTTGCTTTTCGTAGAGGGCGCGCAACACATCACTGTGGTCGTAGTGCCCCCCGCTCCCAACACGCACCGCCTTTCGGTTCTAAGTGCAGTGCACGGTGATGAGGTTTCATGCAGCTGGGTCTGGCGTGAAAACAAGCCTGTTTCTCCTGCTCGTCCTCACCTCTCTCCCAGCCGAGCATGGATCGTTTCCCTCCCAGCGTCTGATTTCCCAGCGTGACGCTTCCCAGCGTTTAGGCTATGGCCGTCACAACCGGCGGACCGTGCGATGGGGAGCCCGTGCTTTCCGCCCTAGACTTCCTAACGCGGGGCAAGCAGATCGCTTCTGCTGCCCCTCTGATTGCGTCGACCTCTGCTGCGGTACCTTTGCCCAACTCGGAAAATGGCGATCAACACGTGCCAGCAACGACTACCCCAACAACGCTGTTATCCCCCCCGCTCCCTGACGAATGTGCAAATAAGAGCATCCCTCCAGTGTCGGTCGCTACAACCTCTCGCAGTGCTAACCCCGTCTTGCCTGACAGATCTATGAAGAAGCGGTATAAACAGCGTGTTCTCACCGTCTGCCGTTCGGGCGGTCCGACTCAGCCAGCACCGTCAGTTCTTCCGCGCCCCGCGGAACCAGAACCTGAACCCGCGAGTGAAGACTTCGAAGACCCGAAGGGCAAGCAACTGTCGGTTGAGAAGCTTCAGTTGAAGTGCAAGCTGTGAGAATAAGCGAACAGGAATGAATGAACTAGCAGTGAAATGAGTACAAGTAGGAAACCCTAGAATTGTGTACCCCCTATAGGCTAACCCACTGTAGCCTACACAAGCATAACATATATAATGTTTGACACACCCCCATAGGCAAAGTGGGGGAGAACAAGGGGTCACAAGACCAGTCAAGCAAAGCAAAGCAAGCTCAGGGTGGATCACAAAGTCACCACACAGTCCGAGCACAAGAGCAGGGCCAGAGGCCAGTTCACATGCAGGAGTACAGACATATATATAAAACTAGACAAGCAAGAGCAGGTATATATATATGTCACAGTACAAGTGAAGTCAAGAGGAGAGCAAGTGAAGCAAGACAGGCACAAGACCCAGCTGGGTGCAAAAGCGCTGATGGTCACAAGGCGCGAGTGCCTTGGTGAACACATCAGCAGTGTTGGCCTCAGAGGCCACGTACGCAAGTCGCAACTGACCACGCTGCTGCAGCTCACGAGCAAGGAAGTAGCGGAGAGCAATGTGCTTCGTTCTGTGCTCCAAGCGCTGCTCTCGACACAAGGCCAGCATGGCCTTGTTGTCTACGTACAGCACTGGAGGAGAACGAGGCGGCTCTCCAAGGTCAGTCAGCAGGTAGGTGAGCCAGCGAAGCTCCTGTGCAGCCATGGCCCCGGCGTAGATCTCAGCCTCACAACTGGAGCCGAGAACCGAAGACGAGCGAGTAGACCGCCACGAGACAGAGCCGGAACCAAGGCTGAAGGTGTAACCCTGTGACGACCGCTGCGTAGCCTGGTCGTCAGCCCAAGAAGCGTCCGCGTGGCCGGTAAGGACCACTGGACTCCGCCCTCCAAGCACAAGCCCCATGCCCGACGTACTGCACAGGTAGCGCAATACCCTCTTCGCTGCAGCCATGTGCTCTGGTCTGTGTCTCCCAGGAGCAACATAGCGTGCAAGAATGCTCAGAGGATATGCAAGGTCAGGTCGTGTGCAGGTCATCAGGTACATGAGGCAGCCAACAAGCTCTGCATACGGACCACTCGACTCTACGGACTCATCCGAAGGCAGAGCTGAGAGTGAGTGGCGAGTAGGCAGAGGAGTGGCCTGAGGCGAGGAGTACGTGAAGCCGAAGCGCTGAAGGACCTGCTGCACCATGTGTGACTGAGTCAAGGTAATGGTGCGGCGTGCTCTGTCCCGAGTGATCTGCAAGCCAAGGTAGCTGCGCAGTTCACCCAGGTCTGTGCACGTGTGTCTCTTCAGCAGTTCGGACTTCACGTAGGCGAGTCCAGCAGTGTCCGCTATGGCAAAGACCAAGTCGTCGACGTACACGAGGATGTAGAACGGCGGCAGTGAAGTGTCGGTGCGCAGAAACAGCGACGGGTCAGCAGTAGAAGGAGCAAACCCAAGAGCCGCAAGCGTAGTCCTCAGTGTGTCGTGCCACTCACGCGGTGCCTGGCGGAGACCGTAGACTGGCCGTCGGAGGCTCCACTGGGTGCCAGGAGGGAAAGTCCCAGTGAAGCCAGGTGGATGGCGCAGCCAGATCTCCTCGTGCAGGCTACCCTGCAGGAACGCAGTGCTGAAGTCGAGAGAGTGAAGCTCGTAGTCGCGCTGAGCGGCTATGTGCAGCAGCACCCGAAGAGTGGTCATCTTCAGGGTGGGAGAGAAGGTCTGAAAGTAGTCAACTCCCTGCCGCTGACTGAAGCCACGAGCAACGTACCGCGCCTTGAAGACAGGTGGAGAGCCCGGCGGCCGCTTCACCCGGAAGATCCACATGCCACTGACGATGTTCGCCCCAGGAGGGGGAACTGCGTCAACGTAGGTGCCTGTGGACTTCCAGGAAGCCATCTCTGCATCCATAGCTGCCTGCCACTGAGAGGAGTAGGGACCCTCTACGGCCTCCGCGTAAGAACGCGGAGTCGGGATGTCTAGTGCATCCGGGTCTCCCTCAGGGGCAAGCAGTACAGACGCGAGATGAGGTGAAGCAGCCGCTAGACACTGTAACTCCTCCTGTCTGTCCTCTAGGACGTCCGTGCCAAGAGCACACTCACCCCCGACGGACGGAGGACAGACAGACGCAGACTCAGCAACAAGACCAGCAGCGTAGTCGAGACGACAGCGAGCAGCAAAGTCAACGAGCTCAGCGACTAGAGCAGACGCAGCAGTGGACTCAAAAGAGGGGTCAGTGACGACAGTAGCAAGCAGACGCGTGACAGTAGGACTGGCAGCGCGAAGAGAGTCCGACTCAGGGTCGGCCAGCGCAGGAAGAGAGGACTCAGGAGGCGAAGGCAAAGGGGCACGCAGAGGAGCAGTGGACGGACGCAGAGACATCCGGTGCGTGCCAGGGACAGGAGGAGGACGCTGACG